AGAGCCCATTGGATTTCAAGTCCAACGCCTTAACCACTCGGCCACACCGACCGGACCATCATCATCGTCCTGTGAAACTCATATTCTATTAATAGGACCTAATTTAGTTTCGATAGGACCTCGCCGTATCGTAGTGTATTGGCAATAACAAATGTCACTACACAATACACCAGGGAATAAACCAGCGACAACTGGTTCGGAAAAGCTAACTAAGCTACTACTAGGCAATTATACACGCAATTCGTAACGGTTGGTTCTAACCGGATAACTGCCCACCACCACACACGGTCCCTACTAGGCCTTGATCCAGAACTCTTTGATGGCATTGAAGCCAGAGTCTTGCATCCAGGAGCGAATTGACTGGGCAGCGTCGCAAGCTGGGGGATTTTCAGTGACAAGGCTTGGAGACCAAAAAAAACTGCATGTCAGAAGATGACCCGATGACAAGAAATAAAATGATGCAATCAGTACATACCAACCAAGCTCAACTAATGTGGCAGCATAATAGCAGCTTTGCTGAATCCGAGGCTGTGGCTGGTTCTGATTGCTGTTGCTGTCGGGCAGTCGAGGTCCTCAACACCACCACATCTGCATGCTCATGATTGACCAAGTCGCAATGAGGTTGCAATGTGGGTCGCGATGAGCGTTGGGCAGATGCTTGCGAGTCGAGGGATAAAGAAACAAGAGGGAAGAGGGAGCAGGTCCCCTTTTATAGACCTTCGGCATGCACCTCACCGCAGTTTAAAAAAAAAACATTTAGCATGCCACACCAATCTGAGTGATAGATGGGGGTTCTGATTATGTGATATGATTAACCGGATTAATCCGTATCGTATCGTATCGTAACGTATGAATTGCAGCTGGTAGTGACGGTTCTGCCCGCGCCAAGCAGTAAACGAAGGAGAAAACACCCCGGCCAAAGTATCTTTACAGTAAAGGCTATAGACATGGAACCAAAAGCAAGAAAGCAACAACCACTACTATCCCACAAAACCGAACAAGGCCACAAGGGCTTAAACGAATTTATCGCCCAGAAAGCAATACAATGCCCTCGGTGTACCCCCAAATAAAGATTACAATCTCTTTTTGAACCTCCAAGTTACCATCCAATCCAGCACAAAAAAAACAACTTTACATTCCACCCCTGATTGTCCATTCATTACACTAAGATGCATTACATTTGGTTCACATGACCTGTGAATTGTGAATAAAATAACCGCGAGGAGGCCCGAAACCTATTCGCAAGAAGATGTTTTGGTCATCCTTTTGCCCGTTTATGTCCAACGTCCTCAGGGGACGGCAATTGTGAGTCCGATGTTCCCATCACCACATCCAGCCACGCACTTGTTCGTTTGGTCGGTATCCGGTTCGACGGCGAAATTGATGGTACGGTGGGTGCAGGTGACTGCGCTTCCATCCGAGGCGGTGGTGACGTGGAGGGTACGGGATGCTGATGTGGTTGTTGCGGTGATGGATTGGGGTGAGGATACGCAGGAGGCGGCGGGCCTATTCGCGCTGAACGTGATGTACCGCTGCTGTTGGTCCCGCTAGCCGCACTCGATGATCGGCGGCCGGGGTGGTCGTAGTGAGATGATCGTCTCTCGCGTGCACTTTGATCCTTCTCATGAATATATCTAGAGAGGACTTCTTTGTGATCGGCCCCCGTGTGCTGTTGGGCTCGCTGGTGATGTGAGTGTTGCTGGTGATGGTGCTGCTGGTGTTGCTGTAGCTGTTGCTGCTGAGCAGTATGTGACGAAGGAAGAACGTGCTGCTGGACTACCCGCATCGGCTGTCCCCCTGGTGCTGATGATGATGGCTGAGACGCAGGGTGTGGGGGAGGAGGGTATGCAACGAATTGCGGTTGTCCTGCGCCTTCCGGCGATTGAGTTGCTGAGTAGAAGGTAACCGGTCCAGGTGGCTGCGGGTGACGAGGAGCAAGCATCGGATAAAACATCACAGGTCCGCCAGCTGCCACTGGTAGCTGAATCACAGTACCCGGTGGATATCCAGGTGCGCTTGTTGGAGCCATGACCATTGACGGGTACGGCGCAGCTTGTATTAGAGGCTGTGATACAGATGAACGACGCCGATATGGTGATGCAGCAGACATCGCATTATGATCAATCGACAGTCGGTGTCCACCTTGCATGGATACCGGTTGCATTCGTGGGTCCCCGTACATGATCGGCTGCATCATCGGCGCGTGGGAGGGTTGCTGATGAATTTGGATATGTGGTTGACTTGCGACTCGATGTTGCATCTCATACACGTTGCTCGATGATAGCGATCGCGTGTGAGGGGGCGCCGGAGGCCGTTCTGACGAAAACACGTGCGGTAACGGTGCTCCATTGGGTCCAAGAGGATACCCTCCAGTAGCAGATCCAGGGGATGGGTGGGAAGGCACTGATTGCCCCATCGACGGAATGTGGAGAGTAGCTGCATCCGAAGGAGACCCGCGTTGCTTGCCGATATCCATTGAAGTATTGGAATTTGTACGCATGGACTCCCCAGCGTGCGACAGCAATTTCATGGGTGTGGAAGAAGATCTTCGATGAGAGGCGGATGATGAGGGTCGTGATTGCTTACGGCGTGGTGGAGTTTGGATAACCTCATCTGTCTTCCCAGCTGCAATTTCGGGTATCGTGTTTATGACAGGGACTTGCGGAGACGCTGCTGGTGACTCTTGTTCATCGTATACATCGTCATCATCCACTCTCTTTTTCTGACCTTGCATAAGTACAGGGGGAGGCTGAGGCAACACCACCGTCACCACATCCGAAGTAGTTGACCCTGGCGGACGGGCTGGTAATGACCCAGCGGGGGCGGTTGTGTACGCTGGAACGGCAAGCAGCGATGCCTCGTAAGGTTTCATACTAGATCTTCTCCTCGCTTCAGACATCTTGCGCGGCTTTTCGCTCGCCTTCTTCCCACGAAGTGGCGATGGCTTAGTCGCAATATCCGTCACGTCAACAGTTGCTGTCGACAACATTGGACTGCTCGCCTTCCCTTTTCGACCCTTCTGAGAGGCTACTTTGCCATTTGATGTTCTTCTCCCACTAGCGGAGGTGTTTTCGGGTGGTTCGGGTGCTTGCCCGTGCCCCTTGTCGACGATACCAATAAGATTAGCCACTTGCATTGGAGCAGGGCTTTGCAGGGCTTGGGGCTCTTTGAATATCAAAGGGTGGACAGAATGAACCGCGGCTTCCTGCTTAAAGTTAACAGGGAGCGCCTGTTTCTCTGTTTCCATAGGATCTAGGGCGTCGACCTTTCGAGATGGCGCAGCGGACTCATCAAGCTCCATCGGCGACGCAGCACTTGATGAATTGAGTAAATGCAAGTTGCTAGTCTCTGTATCCACGCTGCTCTTCGTTCCAGTTGGAGACTTGACATCTATGTCCATCGCATGCTGATCTTCTTCCGATTTGCATGTCTTGGGTAATGGGTCAGCTGCATCTCCTACACTTGGGGCCGTCGGTATTATCCCTGCTAGCTTATTCGACGGTGTGTCCGTATCCATGAGGTCATGCAGGCTTTTGGTTACATTCATTTCGGGCGATGGAGTCCCCATTACGGGAGCGCCATTGGGCGTTGGTGGTTCCTTTAGCTTTTCTTGCTTTACCTCTTGACAAACGCGCGTCGTCTCTGCATTATCCTCCACTTGCAAAGTCTCTGGTGGTATCAACTTCTGTGGATTCATATCACGTAGTGTAGATGAGGCATCCACCTCTGCCTCTGTGTGGGATTCTGATGCTTCGGGGACCTTTTTGAGCACTGATGGGCTTTTGATATCCGACTCTTCCGGGGGCGATGTGTCTGTCACTGAGCCATCTTCCCCAAGGGTGGACGCTGATTCTGCATTACTCTCAGTACTTCTCGCGTGAACAATTTTCTTAAGACGTATTCCCTTCGGCATCTGTGCAACCCATTCGCTAATTGACCGTTTTCGTGGCGGAAGTGTTTCCGCTTCGGCCTCACCGGTCTCCCCACTTACATCCCGCCCCTCCCGCTCCGATTTAAACCCTGCTTGCGGCTTCGTCAAGAGATCGCAAGGCTTTCCCGTGTCAACAGTAGGTGATGTTATGAATACCTCAGACGAGCGGCGGTACTCGCTCCCACCAGATGATGCTGAAGAGCGCCTTATCGCATCTGAATCGGCAGACTCTCTTCGGTCGATCATAAAAGGTGATGTGTCCCCAGATTTTTGTTTCAGTGGAGATTCGACGGACAGTCGTCTATCAAAATCTGTCGACACGCGTCGAACAGGGAGCTCCACATCGGATGTAGTACTCCCACTCGAAAGGCGGCGTTTAACATGATCACTAATTCCCATCACTCCATCTCTCCAAGGATCCTCGAGTGATGGAGCATTTTCCAGGGCTGGTGTTGGGGGTACTGGTCCAGTTGAAAACTTGCGCTCCGGTGGTGGTCGTGGTGGCAGCGACACCCCTTGTTCTCTAGCCTTCCAATGCGCACGTATTGTTTCGATTCTGCCAAGAAGCTACTTACCAGGTAAGAAAGAGCGTAGTCACAGGGAATATTCGGAAGGCCGCCGTAATACATACCATTTCTTTCGTTACCCCATTTTGAATCAGCTTCATCGTCTTTTCCAAGATAGCCAGATCATTTGCGGTGTCCTTATCATCTCTGACAATGGGTGCAGTATAAGCAAAACAGAACACTCTGATACAGATAGACAGTACAAACATACCGAAATCGGACAAATCGCCATCCTCCTTCCCGCTTGCTCGAAACATATCCATCTTCCCATAGATGTGTCATCCAAGTCTTATCCCAACGGAATTCTGCAATTCGTCCATCAGGAGGGGAGACTCGCCATCTGAAGCGTGCATTAGTGAGGAAGTCCTGGCCATTGTCATCATATTTTCATTATCGTAATACCAACTTTTCTTGCAGCTCTGGTTCCAGCGTTAGCTGGTCGTGAAACTTGTGAGCCCCAAACTCGGCAATCAGGATTGCATAGTGTGGTTTGCGGTCCTTGTCCAAATCCATTTTGATCTTGAAGTCAATTGTATTTTGCTCGGGTGGCTTCCACTTCAGTCTACGTGTATATGAGCACAGCTCCATCAGTCTTACGAACCTAGTATATGAACCTTTTTTTACGTACAGTTTGTGGCATGTTCCCGGTGTGTATGGCAGATTCACGGGCGTAAATATCAACCCATCATTACCATGCTTCTGTCGAGCGATCTCATCGAAAACCACATGCATGCCATACGAACGTTGCTGCGTTTTTATTCGGATGCTACATAAGCGTTCAAATGAGAGGGTATTCAACCTCAAAAAAAGGTCTTATGTAGCACCAAGCTTACCGGAATGGCTGCACATTACGTGCTTCAGGATGGTATTTGAGGTAGTGCTCATACGGTGCAAGCACATCTCGTTGGAAGAACTGCATAAAGAGGTATCTTGTATCACGTGTCACCCGCGAATAAAACTAATGAGCAATCCACTTACACCCAAGCGACGGTTATAGGTTTCGTGTAGGTGTCGTTCACCGTGGGAAGTCAAGAGATCAAAAACAAGGTAAGTTAATGTCCTCTGGAAAAGCAATCATTGTCAATCAGAAAGAAAGGAAAGGCTTAAATTGGTTCATTTAGCCTACATGTGAACCTTCTACATCCACTACAAGTTCCCCGTCCAGCAGGGTCTCATTATGATACTTCGTTACTTCGCCTACTTGTTTCGGTAGCGGAAACTTCATATCGACGTAATGGAACTCGTTTTTGCGGTCAATCTGTCAGCATGATCAAATCGGATGAGAGATGTTATCTCAGCACACATGTTCCCGACCATACCATAAACGTCGCCGGCCCTTTCTGTGTCACCATCAATAACATAAGATATCGTACGCCATCGCTCTTTTCGCAAACAAAGTAATCCTCTCGTTCGAGGGCCTGCAGGTTATTGTGTTGCAGGGCGACGGGTTGAGAGCCTGGGAACCTGTATAGATAAACTAAAATGTTTAGCAGCTGTAAGGTTTACATTTCGGATCCCGACATACTGGCCATCGTATGATTGACCAAATTGGCCTTGATGGGCCAACACCTTCCGACCCCAGCTTGGGTCGACCGGGGGCTGCTCACCAAGGTGTAATAAGTCCTAGCCAACATAATAGAGCAATTTCTCTGCATATGATGAGAACCCTCCACCATTGTTGTACGTGGACCGACTAGGAGGTTCCCAGAATATTCCCAAACGGCGAACTCAAAACTCAGGAACCATGGCCTACCCATCCCCACTTATTGACCGTCTACCATAAAGCCATCTCTAAATTCACACGCGCAAGTGCGAAACCTACCCGTCATGTTTCCAATTCAGTAAGTCCTTTATTCGATTTCGCAATTCGGCAGAGTAAGAAGGATCAACTCCGATCCCAATCTTTCCGGGTAACACATCTCCCTCCTTTGGTCGCGAATTCGACATATTTATTGAGGCGCGTTAAAATACGAGCGCTGCGTGAGGTATTCTACCCGCGTCGGTATTGAAAGAGGCAGAGAGAACGACGGTGCGGCTCTGGACACGCGGCATACGGGCATTCGGCGTTCGCCTGATTGTGCAGTATGAAAGTTTGGCGGGGTACGCTGTGGTTGCGGTGGTGAACGGAATCCCGCAAAGCGGAGTGAAAGGAGTGGATAGGCGGGCGCGATCGCGAGCAGGTTCAGATTGAAGAAATGCTTGGGAGGAGACAGGTTGCTGCAGTTTACCATATCCGCAGCCCTCACGAAGGGTGACCATAAGCGGTGGTTTGACGGTAATATCGGTTATAAATGAATCATGCCGTATCTATGACAACACTATCACGTGTTTTTGTGGAGAGCTTACCCTGACGTTGCATTGCTTCCCCAAGAAAATTGCTGCAAACCAATACATTTCTAAAAAGATACCCAGGAGGAGTGTGCCGTTGAGGCAATGTCCTGTATCCTTACTGATAGAACAGTTTCCCAGGCATAGAACATCCGGTGCATGAAAAGCAGTTCCCTACAATAGCTCGTACTATGCTTGCTCCCTTGGAAATAGTCGATGTCAAGACACTTGTTCCTAGCCCTCTCGAAAGCCTTGGGAGGTTGCCCCCATCGATGTCGTCCACCGCTATCTCGAGTAGCTCTTCAACCCGGGGGACGCAGAATGTCCGTCGTTGCAGACTGTCCACCAAAGTCGTCATATCGCCCAAGCAATCCGCTTTGCAATGGTACAGAAGACTGCACTACGCGGAATTTGCGTATGGGCGAATATTTATCACGAAAGGGATTGCGGAGGGTGCGGGACCGCCGCACAGAGCGCGTTTTGAATCCTGACCGCCATCCAACGTATGGCCAAACTAACCGACGTACGCAAGGGTAGGTAGATGCCTTTGATATACGTTTTTCAGAGATTCTTACGCCTGCATCTTCCCGACAAAGCTACCACTCTGCTACATTCCCATTAATTTCGGAGGAGAGCGCTCATGATGCTGCAACAGTTCATCTGAGTAAACCACCAAGCATGAGTGCTGAGGTCACAGCTGAAGCGGTCACTCAAGCCTGGCAACGTTTTAGAGCGTTGTTAATTGAAAGGGGTGGGGAAGGCGATAATATACCGGTGGAGTTGCTACGCGACATCTTCCACACATTGGCAAAGGGAATGATGCGGAAACGCCGATCGGCAGAATATTTGAGGACAGTGGCAGGATATATGCGTCAAAAGGGAGTTATGTTCTTTTCTGAAGAACTGGAATATCTAGTCGCGGCGCAGCGCATCTTGCGAAACTGGGGGGAGGCGTTAGAGGTCTTGGATTCATTGGAGAAGATGAGAAGACCGGATGATCCTCCATGGCGATTGGGAACATATGAAGCTGGAATGCGAGCACATATCAAACAGGGCAATATGGGGTTGGCCATGGGGCTCCTAGATCGTATGGAAAAGGATCGTATCCGGCCCACTGCCAGAATATTTGCCACACTAATTGACGGAGCAATAACTGGAGATGACGTTTCGCTAGCGCTTAACCTCTTCCAGCGAATGTCGGATAAGGGCGTTAGTCCGGATGCACGATCATTGGCTCTTCTTTTAACTGCATTTCGAAATGACGAAGAGAAGTTGAAGAGATTATACCAGATGGCAAGCGAATCGAGTCTTATAGATCTTCCCACCAATCCGGTTTTCCAACAGTCGCTGATATCAGTCAGCAGTCGACTAGGAGATTTGGAGCTGGCATTCAAGCACCTGATGTTTATGAAAGACAGCTGTGCCGATCCATCCTACCAAGTGGCGGGATATACGATGCTAATTGATGGGTTTCTGAAGCGGGATCAAATTCCAAAGCGGGGGATGAAAATGGCCGAGGACTTGTTCGAGGAGATGAAGCGGAGCGGACTGAGGCCAAATCTGAAGACTTACACCGTGCTCATGCATGGTTATTTGAAATTCAAAGGATTGCATCGGGTTGTTCAATGTTTCGAAGAGTTGGTGGCGGAAGGCTTGCAACCTGATCAGACGATATACAATATCGTACTTCGAGCATGCGTCTTGCACGGCGATATTCGGAAGATGGAGGATGTGTTTCAGAATTTGCTGGATTCCGGCTTACAGCCCAATCTGCACATTCTATCGTCGCTGATGGCGGGGTATGTTGTATACCACCAATTGAATCGAGCGATGGAAGTTTTCGAGTCAATGGGAAGCTATGGCCTTAAACCTGATGTTGTTGCGTTTAACATTATCATCAACGGACACGGGTTGCAGCAGGACCTGCCCGGTGTGATGCGATGTTGGCAACAAATGCTGGACCACGGAATGCAGCCGAACCATATTACCTACACCAGTCTCCTCCAAGCGTTGTCAACGATGTTGGATCCGGACGTTCCTAAAATGCATCAAAGAATTTTCGCGACTGAGGTCAAGCCCGATGTATACGCTTACACTCTACTGATTGACGACCGACTACGCCGTGGCCAGCTACTTGGTGCACAGCAGCTATTTGACGATTTTCTTGCTACGGGTACAAAGCTTAATTCCGTCGCATTCACAACATTGATGAATGCCTACATTGGGGAACGAAATCATGGGCCAGTGGCAGAGCTGTTTCAACGATTGACGGAGCAAGGAGGATTAATCGATGGCCCGGTGTATCATGTTTTGATGCGAATGTTGGTCAACGCGAATCGTCCACAGGAGGTGGAAAGAATTTGGGCCATGATGAAGGGAGAACGTATTGATCCGGACAAGGGGAATTATGCCATTGCCATGCAATCGTATCTCCAACTGTGGGATGTTGCTAAAGTGTGGGAACTTTTAGACGAGATGAAATCGAAGCATATCTATCCAGATGAGCACGTCTATCATCTCGTGATTAAGGGGTTTGTAGGGCGTTGGACAACTCCAGGGGCGCGTGCTGCTGTACAAGCGTACAAGATGATGCTAGCGGAGGGGGTCATTCCTGCTCAAGTCACATTCCGGATACTGATAGTCATGGCGTGCCGGAGACGAGATCAGGAGGCCCTTTTACGTTTTGTTCGAGACGCGATGGCCATGGGGCGGATGAGAGCGTTGGATGGGCAGCTGCGGCGAACAGTGTGGAATTTCCTCGTGGATACTCGCGAATTGGCGGGCGTGATGGAGATGGCGGACGTATGCATTAAGATGGCCGTGTTGGATGATGTTTTGGTTGTTATTAACCGACTGGCGGCAACGCGAGATGTGGAAGGTATTATTGAATGTTGGGATAAGTTCGCGAGCAGCAGTTCGGGACGAATTCATGATGAAATCGTGAGCGAGGTTTTGGAAATCGTTGCGATTCGATGCAATGCGCCAACAGAGGCAAAGCAGCTGTGGAATAATCTCGTGAGCGGAAAGTACTCTGCTGTTTCTCGGACGATGGCGGTGGGGACGGTAGTGATGTATTTACGAGCCCTGGCGTATTGGGACGAGACTGAGGCATTGATTAAGATGTGTACGTGTGGTTTGGTTGAGCTTGGTTTGAAAACCTCAGCTGTGGAGAAAGTATTAGAGGAATGCTTCAAATTCATGAGGTGGAAGCTGGGCAACAACCTGGAGCAAGTGACTGAGTTTTGGAAGGCACGGGACGAGGTCGATATTAACAAGATTGCTGCGGTTCCATGAGCCATCTTGGTCCATGTAATTATATTTAAGGCGTGCACGCGGATTAGTGAAGAATACCTAGTGCCATCCATATATGTGCCTTTATTCGTATTAGCCAAACTGCTGGTGATTGAGATCAATCTCGTTGCTCATGTAACAATTGTTCTGGGAATAAACCACGTGACCTCTCTGCTGACTAAGAATCAAAGATTTGCCATGGCAACAATAGAGTGAACAGAGTTTTGCCACTGGCAGATTTTTTGTTCCTTTGAGCGGATTTTGATTGCTTCTTTTTCACGAGTTGATGGGATTTCCTTTTTTCCTCGCGTGAGGTTTTTTATTTTTTTTTATTTTCCTGATTTGGGTCCAACGACGAGGAACGACGACGACGACGACGACTTTTGCACGTCGATGGTACATTGCTGATTTATTTATTTTTATTACTGTGCAGTGGACATTTCTCATTCATTGGCCTCCTTCCGACAGTCGTGGATGCCGACTTCATCCGTGTCGTATTGCCACATCAAAAATAGTTATGAGCGTACAATGTACTTGGCTATGGGCGGTTCTGCTGGTGTATCTTGCGGGGGCGGTTGAAGCGTCCTCGTCTTCGGCCACAATCGATTATGGTCGCATTGGTCACGATCGTACAGCGTCAGGGCAGTTAATGGTGCTGCCAGATGTTGAATTTCGGAATGCGAGTTCTTGGATCATAGGTGTCGCATTAGTGGCCGTCGTCGGTATTGGATTGGGGTTGGTGTTGGGTCATATCGGCAAGGTGAGATGAAGTGCGTTCTCTGGTTGATCACCATTACCATGAGACTAATTGGTCCTGTGGCAGATGCGAATGCACCGTTCTTGGATATCGAGTCCTTCACCAAGTCTCTTGGATGTAGCATGGAATGGGCGTTGCCTGCCGCCCATACCATCCGCGCAGACTCCCTCATATGATACAACTTTTACCCAAGGGCTCGACAAGGAGGAGCAACAGGAAAGCGCCAGAACAAGATCCTTGAATCATCCTGTAGACATAGCATCCTCAGAGGATGACCCGCCTGGTCCTGGGTCTTCGCCACATCCCTGCGACCAACACGATGCTTTTACACCTCATCATCTGCCTTTGAACCTTGTATCATCCTCGACCCGTCCGGAGTCTCCCAGCTTGGAATGCATTCAAGATCAATCATCACACACAACTGCCGCTGCTGCTGAACCTGCTGGCCTACAACAACCAGCACCTTCCTTGTCTACACCGGCATCGGCTATACTGGATTCACCCGCTGCAAGCACGAAATCGAATTCTCGGAAGAAAAACAGACACTCTCGGAACAACTCGTTTGCAACTTCCCTCGATGGCTCAACAACAACTTCTACCGCTGCAAGCGCGACGAAACCAAAGCCAAACCCATCACCACGTTCATCTTCGACTGGAATTCCACGGTCTGGCGGCGGCAACGATAAACGCCGTGCTGCGAAAGCAGGTCAAAACACGCACGATTATTCGGCAAACCAGCCTCCTACAGCGATCAACAATAAAAATCGTCACGGCCGAGACTTGCACAAATCTGCGTCGACTACGCAATTACAGCTACCATCATCCCGAAACGAGAAAAGACCGGTGAACGAGTACAGAGAGTTGAAACAAGTGACAAGGGCCAAAGCGTCTCATGCTAGGTCCTTCTCTGGCTCACATTTGGAATCCACCGCCGCTACCGCACGTAAGCATTATGATCAACAACCAGAGACTTCCCAGCAACATACCTTTGCTGCATCGCCCATCCGGGGAGCGGCCTGGTCGTCTTCGTTTTCTACCGCTACAAGTCCTTCCAACCGTTTGCATACTGCCTCGATTAAGGCTGTATCACCTCCTCCGGGTTTGTCTGAACCAGACGTCTCGGCTGCTCGATATCATCATGGATGGACACGTTCGGCTCCGTCACCCCCACCTTCCTATGAAGCTGTCATGGAGGAAGCCCGTCGAGAAACCTCTGTCAAGCGGACCGGTTTCGGCCAACAGCAATGGTACTCGCCTTTTGTCTCTGGATTGAGTCTTGATCTGGATTTGAACAATCGTGCCCGCGGACATGGGCACGAGTCGAGAGTTATCAAACCGGATGCGCATTCGTCGGAGGAGCAAGTGACTGTTCCTTCTTCGACACCAGTCGGATATGCTCCACCTCTACATGCACCAGGTTTTCATACAGGGTCAAAGGGAGGTCAAGACAAGGGCGTGGTTTCCAGGCTTAGACGACAACAAACCCGACAGGACGGGGCACAGCAAGGACAACAGTTTAGTTTATTCGACAGACGTCTCTCTTTTACGGTTGGTCGTAGTGACAGTTAATGATATCTACTTAAAAGCATTTTATAGCTGGATGGAGGCTTGCGCATGGTGGGCCTGTAGACCAGGGTAGACGTGATAGTATTTTGTATAGGCGGTTTCTTTTTCTTCCAAAGTATTCCAAGGTGTTTCCTTGTGAGTGCTTTTGTTGTGTATAGTAGACATACCCGGTTCATTTAAAAGATATTATTCTCGCAACTGTACCTACTTGTGGCTGTTGTTCTTGTCACTTGTTTTGGTGGTCCTCGTCGTTGTAACAACGATCATGAAGATAAACAAATCCCATAACGGGGGATCCACGTTTCACACGTGACTTCTGTCACCAGGTAACAGTGACCCTGAATGAGGTCAACCGCTCATGTTTCCGCCTGTGTTCGCAAAGGCGAACGAAAGATCGTGGGGGGAGACATCTTTTTTCTTCGCTTCTAGACTTGGGATAAGGAAGGCGTAGAGTAGTCCACGCGGATTCCTAGTTTATTTTCTATTTCAGCCAATTGGCATTGCCTTTCCCCTCGCCGTTCGTCTTCCCAAGACCTTGTCAACCACGACTGGGCTTCAACCGCTACACCGCTAACCACCAGCAGAATCCCGCCCATCTCCCAATATGTCGTATATCGGGTCACCACCCCGCTCCTCCTTTGGCCAGCGGAAGCCGTCAATTGTTGAACGCGCGTCCAATGCCATTGAACAGAAATTGGGCGGAACGGCTCTACGACGGGTGGCGACGACGCCGGCTAGCTACGGGTCGGGGGGACTGAAGGATGTCCAAAGTGCTAGTGTGGGTAGTTTAGTGGAGGAGAATTATTCAATGTGCGTTGATGATTATGAAGTTGGAGAACCGATAGGTACTAGAGCTTGTGGGACCGATGCACTCCGCCTATGAGGTCACTAAGTGTCCTATTTTATTAATGCAGGATATGGATCTTCGGCTGTGGTTTATATTGCCCGGTATAAGCCAACGAACAAGGCGGTAGGAATTAAGATGATTGATTTGGATATGTTTGAGCGAAATCAGATTGATGAGTTACGGGTAGGGTTTGCGTCTTCCTTTTGTGGTTTCATCCGTGTATTATTGACTTGTTTACATTCTTATCAATGGACAGAGAGAAATTCAGATAATGAGCTTGTCAAAGCATCCCAATCTCCTCCCTGTATTTGGCTCGTTCGTGCACGGTTCCAAACTTTACATTGTCACGCCTTTCCTCTCTGCCGGATCATGTCTAGATATTATGAAAACCGCCTTTCAAGATGGCATGGACGAAGTCTCTATCGCAACCATTCTCAAGCAGGCCCTTGAGGGACTCGTTTACCTCCACAAAAACGGTCTAATCCACCGTGATGTGAAAGCCGGAAACCTCCTCATTCACGAAGATGGTTTAGTCCAATTGGCAGATTTTGGTGTCAGTTCCTCGTTGATGGATACCGGGGAGCGTAAGGGTCTAAGAAAGACTTTTGTGGGCACACCATGTTGGATGGCTCCGGAGGTTATGGAGCAGAGCGGCTATGATTATAAAGCAGACATATGGAGTTTTGGGATTACGGCTTTGGAATTGGCTACAGGACACGCACCGTTTGCAAAGTTTCCTCCCATCAAGGTTTGTTCCTGTATCTTCTGTAGTGTACTGATCGTATGAGCATGTGGGCCAATGAATTCTAATGTTTGGTACAGGTGCTGATGCTGACACTCCAAAATGATCCGCCAACATTGGACCGCGATTCCACAAAGCACAGATATTCTAAAACATTCAAAGAAATGATCGATCTGTGCTTGGTGAAAGATCCAGCTAAACGGTGAACATGCGGTCTTTTTGGTAGATTATTGGATACAGTCACTGAATTCTCATTTTTGCCATTATAGACCTACAGCCGAAAAACTGTTGTCGCATCCCTTCTTTAAACAGGCGGCTAAGAAACGCCAATACCTTGTCGTGTCACTGTTGCAGAACTTGCCGCCAATAACACAGCGTCAACACAATAGAAGTATGTTTGGTTGCTGTTCAGATAAGGGCCCTTTTGATTTCCGCTGACTCGCTGGAATATTAGGAGGATCACACCCTCAGAAGGACGGATCATATTCCAAAGGTGTTTCGTGGGACTTTAGTACTGCAGCCGAAGAGCTCGGAATGCAACCCGGCAAGGAGGGAAGCAAGGACGCGATGATTCGCACATTCTTGTCGGAGAGCTCTGTGGATTCAACCACAAGCTCAGACTCTCTGAATATCGAAGAGGGCACAAGTAATGGTAGTGGTAGAGAACGAGGTGTGAGTTTCGCTCCTAGTGTTGCTGTTGTAGGCGGCGGTGCCGAGCCATTAGCTGCTCCCGCGGTAAAAAAGAGCCGATTTATTGTGGATAGCCCCAGCGGTGCTTCATATCCAACATTGGCTGTCGATGTCACAAGCGCACCGGGAACTCCTACCGGTGCTCAGACGCCGGTGGAGAATGCGGTGGTAGACTCTTCATCAACGCCAAGTTCGCAAACGCCGCCGTCATCCAATGTGTCCCCTGTTGCTGGGGAAGTAAGAAAGGGACGGTTTAGTGTCAATCAATCGGCACCAAGTGGCATAAATCCGTCAGCTCCATCAGTGCTACCCGACACGTCGCGACAGGTGGGGTCTCCGGCAGATGCCGTGGCACCAAAGTTGAGCGACGATGGATCTACAGGTAGGCTCTTTTTTGCAACCGGGTGTAAGCATGTACCAATATTTATAGTCCTTGCGGTTTCCAGTGGAACGAAAGCCAAGCCGTTTTGCAGTCCAAACTCTCTCCACTACGTCATCCAGCCCCGCCACCCCCTCAGCTGGTTCACAAGACTCCATCACAACCCGAACCCTGGACCGAAGAGGCCGATTCGAAGTAACAACGGGGGACAACTCCCCGATTCCGCAGGCAATAACCCTGGACCAGCTCATACGCCAGAATGAATTGCAGCGAAATCTCCTCAATGATATGATTGCGGCACTTGGACGGAATGGATTGACACTTGAAGCCTTGGGAGTGTCGGTCCCCGCTGGTGTCTTTGAGGTGAATACACCTGGAGAGAAACCCAGTCCGTCGCTGGGTCCTACGAGGAGTTTAAGTGGAGCAAGTATGGACGGGTTTGGGGTAAGACAGCGCAAATAGGTTAAATATGTACAGGTATTCGGATTTTTTTAACCTCCACTTTATTTTAGTTGGATAAAGCTCAACCCAGCGCCGACTCGCTGAAGCGCGAAAATGACCAGCTGCGACAAGAAGTGGCTCAGTTGAGACGTGAAGTGGAACTTTTTAGGAAGGGGGACGCACACGTGAAGGGCGTGAGTAGCGGGGTGGACGGTATTTGAGAACTTGTAAACATTAATTTGTGCATCGCGTCCTTTCTGTATTTTTTGTTTGGCGTCATGGTTGTGGGTTGGGACGCGAGTTGGATGAAAGGAGTATTGTATCGTGGCTGGGGGGTGCGGTGGGACGTATATAAGTCTGTTATTTGTATAGTGCCATCGGAGAGCATGCTTGAAAAGCACAGATAATGCAATTAGAACCATTATGAGCCACTGTATGTCATGGCGGCATTCATAGCGCTTATGTATGTGCCTTGGGTTGGAAGGTGTGCAACAATGTCTTCTTCTAGCGAGGCTCTTCAAATTCCGTATCTTTCACGCATATTGGCTTCCAAGCTGGCTTCCACGGTGGATCTTATCCCCTTGTTTCCATTGCAAAAGCCGTACGTCCATTTTCTGCATTCGCAGCACGTCGGATGTATTCAAGGAGTAAATCACCGTCCTTTCATTGAATCGATTCGCTCAACATCCTGGTATGGTGCTGGATGTGTTAAGATATGGTTTTGATCCAGATGTGAAGACTCAAAAGAGTTAATGAAGGAATTGTACAAGTTTCTAAATTTCTTTCACATTATTTTATCATATTTCGTGTTTGCTTGGAAAATGTGAGAAGGATAAGTGTCATGATACACACACATCTTCCTGAAAGCACTAATATCTACACTTGATGTGTATCAGAATGTGAACACGGAAGACTGTTCACGAGCCATTGAAGCCCTTTTTGATAACGCATACCGAGGTTATATTCCGCATACAAATAGAGAAGACTCTACTGCAAACTCCTTCCCCCAGATTGCAACAGTGTTAGTTGAGGCAACGCTTGACAACAACCGTTGCTTCCTTTGCTGCATATCTGTCGCCCGAAGGCAGCAAGCATCTTGAACCCAGCCGACCGCGCTACTAAGCCATAGTCACGTGCCCCTTCTCCAATTCAACCTCGGCCACCGCAGCAACGATAGCTTTCCTCCCTTTTCGGACGTTGATCATCCATCCATCCATCTTTGACTTTACGCCATGGTGAGTTGCTGTTGATGGGGGCAGGTGACGGAGGTGAAGGCGTTCTGTGCTGTGTCCTGGGAGATCTCGATGAAACGGATGGATGGAAGGACGTTGGACGAGGCATGGAACATGTGCGAGCATGAAATTGCAAAAGGGGAATTTGACGATATTTAGTTGGACTGCAGGAACGAGAAGATATTTTGAGGACTAGGTGGACTCTCTGGAGAAATGCAGGCGACCTGAGCTCGTTAGGGTGAATGCAAAACCAGAATGGGGGCAGAAGCGGGAAGATAGTGACAGATCACCCCCCATTATCTCAACAACTCCCACGCAATACCTTCAACCGATCTTAACCACATCACCTCTTACAGGACACAAAAAGCGCAGTCCCCAAGCTTGCCCGCGTTGTCAAGGTTTTGGGTCGTACCGGCTCCCGGTAAGGCGAGGTGGCTACATGTTGACAATATCCGCCTGTATTGACTTGACTGTCCGGGTATCCTTAGCGGAGGAGTGACCCAAGTCCGTGTCGAATTCATGGACGACACCAACCGATCCATTATTCGGAACGTGAAGGGTCCCGTGCGTGAAAACGGTATGTTCCTAGGTTGCAGCCTTATATAGAGGGCTCTTTTTCACATCTGGTCATTAGACATTCTCACCCTCCTCGAATCTGAGCGTGAAGCCCGTCGTCTCCGTTAAGAAGATGGATGCGATTGTGAGGGTCTTCTTGTCTTTCTCTGGCTGGGCTGTCCACCTGTAATTGTTGCTTCCTACGTCTGATATGAAAGGCTGAGAGGAAGGGGATGCCTAGACGTGGAAAGATCGGATGGTGTATTTTCTGCATTGTCAATAAATTTGTTACTGGACGCCACCATTTCCCGTTTTCTACCAGCTTCTGCTGAAAGTGTACCTGGTTGACTCGGAAACTGCACTCTGACTCCTGATCAGGTCCATATTTGGCTATGACGCATAGATGTAGAAGCCCGTGAGACAGGCGCGCACCAAAGCCAGTACAACGGAAAATGCGAAAAACGTGCGTGAGAGTGGATTCTAAGTCCTCTATAAATACTTGGGTCCCACTATTGACCCGTGAAATTGAGGCAATACCCCACAAGTGCTCCAAAAGCCCCCCAATGATCTACCTAATCTATGCTAATCCTTTTTGATATGTCTGTCTCCGATATGACGTTCATACATTCTACCTAAGAAGCGCTCGATGCCGTATGCCATGTAGTGGGCACGTGGGGCAGAAAGAATATCGTACATGTGATTTGCATTCTGGTTGGGACATAAGTGTCTGTCAGATTTAAGACGGAGATAAAACGTAAAGAAGTACTACGTACAGGGAATTCCACATAGCAAATTGGCTCTTTGGAGATCTTCTTGTAACTTTGGACGAAATCGCGAACGGAACGGAATGGGACGAGAATGTCGGCGCGGCCGCTGTAAACAAAGGTATGAAGTGAGGACCACGTAAAAGACATATTCTCCCGAGGTGCGAAACACTTACTGGAACAGTAAAAAGGGAGGCAACTGTTCTGTCCCATTGACAGCTTTAGGCATTTTGGATCCTTCCTCTTTTGTATCCGCGGCCGTCACCTTTTCTCCCAAACTGGCGGCGTTACTCCTTCTCCGCTCCGCCTCCATCTGCTTCAATAGGATGACTGGACTCGAGAGTTTGAGGAATTCTTCATTGGGGGTGAAGCCTTCTTCCTTGCCCAAAATCTGTTTCGCAAACCAGTCCTGGAATTTATGTCTCCAGTAGCGTTTGTGGTTTGTCAAATCAAGAACGGCATTGATGCCAACACATGCTTGAACAGATGTATCGACAGATTCAAAGCCGGGTTGGTAGAACGGGTCGTTTTGTGTCATGGCTGCCATGGCTGCCAAATGTCCACCGGCAGAGTTACCGGCCAACGCAACAAAATTTGGGTCACCTCCGTATCGCCCAATATTCTGTCTAACCCACCTAATGGCCCGTTTGACATCAATGAGGTGATCGGGGTATTTGGCGTGCGGCGAAAGCCGGTAATTTACGGAGACGACGACCCAGCGCTTAAGGGCGAGGTAAGAGATGAATGGTGGGGAAATCGTTTTATCGCCCATCGACCAGGAGCCACCGTGTATGAATATGAGGACTGGGCGGTGCCGGGGATAGCTTGGGTGGATGTGGACGTCCAAGGACATGTAGGGTTCCGCGGCTGGACCGGCTTGTTTCAACTCTTCCTCAGAGGCGTAAACAACTGGAATAGTGGCTGGTTAGCGCTTACGCTGCACCTCGCTCCGTGTAGGAAATCATCAACTTACTGTCGGGATGGACCATGACATTTCTGGCCGACCAAAAGGGATTTAACAAGCGAAACCAATAGCCGAGGCTGCCCATCCACAACAAAGCTATTAATCCCTATCCTCTGCGAGATCTCCTTCAATGCAATTGAAACCTACTGAAAGAATCCCGGAGGATCATGCGAATCCGCAGCCCGAAAAACTTTGGTCTGTTCCTCCACGACATAACGGGCGAAATAGCATTGAAGAAATAATCCCCAGATGGTCAGAAAGACGACGATATCAAGGCGATACAGCCAGTTCGAGTATGCAAGTTCGAATACTCCGACTTTGGTTGCAAAGTAGAGGATGAGGAATTTAAAAAAGAGAAACACTTGCGGAAATTCGGTTCTTTAAAAAGAACACAAGGTTGTGAGTGGGGGAGTTGGAACACTTTTCGGCCAAAGGTTTCGTTGGCTCATATCTCAAGTTCTAAGAGACTTACATCAAAGTTGATAGAATCAGGACATTGAAACGATATTTCCTTGAACTGTTTGCAGGAGAAGGAAGTTGGGACAAGACGCACAGGAGCCCTGTTAACCCCACAGAGAGGGCATACAGGGTCGCGTAGACCGCTGTGAGCATTGGAGATTGGAGGGTTTTTGGTTGGGAAGTGAGTAACGATGAGGTTTACAGATGGGAGACAAGAGAAACCTCCTGGTGTTATTTAAACAAGAAGAATCGGGTAAAAAAGTCGACAAAGGCCAAGAATGCTCAGAAAGCTTCGCTCTGACCGCAACTTTCCTAAAGTTGCTTATTGATTGAAATTTCAAAATGGGATATTTGGCTGAGAATTTGTGTCGCGTTTTCTTTCTTGTTTGTTTTCCTTCAAGATGGAGGGGAGGAGAGGAAGAGAGATGGAAGAGCAAAAGGTGAATTGCCAAAGGATGGACTCAAGAAAGGATTCAATGGGAAGTAGGAAGCGAACATGGATCATGACCCTCTTTAGAGAATGATCCACCACATTATAATTGAAACATTGGAATAAAAGTTGCTTGGAGAGATTCATCCATGTTCAGCACCATTGGGTACCCTTTAGCACCTTGCAGGACGTTGCATCTTGGGCTATATCACCTTGTTGAGGTTTGATTACATGGGAATACACTGAGAAGCCTATGATACGAGGTGTTCTAATTGACGGACAGGTTTTACACGTTCTGCATACTGGCTCTAGGCTTCAAAAGAGACAGCAGATCTTGACTCTCCTTGCCATGCACAAGAACCGTATTAAAAGACCTTTGCATGATATCCATCTCCTCTCAAGCCAACGTACTTCTTGGACTATTCGCACCAGAACACCTTTTGAACGTTTGAGCGGTGGTGGCACAATCACATTGATATTGCAAATCATTGCCACCGACACGTGACACAAGCCGAACGCCAAAACATTTGCAGAATTCCAACTGTCGGATTTCCTTCCTCTCGCAACGACCGTTGGAAAGTCATCCCTCACATCTTTCCGTCGAATCCATCGTACGCCATGGTGAGTAACAGTCCAGATATCATTGATGGAGAGAGAACGCTGCAAGTGGAATGAGTGAATGGATGGATGGATGGATGGATAGAAGGATGGATGCGATCGACACTCAGGAATAGTACCGGAAATAATTCAAATGAAATCCGCTCATGGAGAAATATAAGCTGGCTCAACGGGGAGGAGAAAGGCACGGGGGAGACTAACGGGTAGACGATAGGAACATCGGCGGAAATGAATGGGACATGCGATAATGCAACCCCTATTTGGCCGAATGAGATGCTGATTGCTCTTTCCTCGTCTTCTGTCACCAGCCACCAAAAGCTCCCAAGCCGGCTGAAGAGAACATCAAGCTCGGACCTCAGGTCCGTGAGGGTGAAAACGTCTTTGGCGTCGCCCACATCTTCGCCAGCTTCAACGACACTTTTGTCCACGTTACCGATATGACTGGCCGTGAAACGATCTCCCGTGTCACTGGTAGGTTCAATCTTCTTTCTTAGTTTCATTACCCGCCGGGTTCGACGTGGTGCCTTGTTTGCATCCTTCCTACGTTACCCCGGTTTGGTACCAGAACAGGAACCTTTCCGGGGAAAGTGGCGTACGGGACATGTCGAATCGGACTAGTGGTGAAACACGTAATCCGTGAAAGAGCAGTTGAATGACCGATGCCCTCGCCACTTTTCCCCCTTGTTGCGCGATAGGTGGTATGAAGGTGAAGGCCGACCGTGACGAGTCCTCTCCCTACGCGGCCATGTTGGCGGCTCAGGACGTTGCCCTGAAGTGCAAGGAGGTCGGCATCACCGCCGTTCACATCAAGCTCCGTGCTACCGGTGGTAACGGTACCAAGACTCCCGGTCCTGGTGCGCAGAGTGCTCTCCGTGCTCTTGCCCGTAGCGGCTTGAGGATCGGCCGTATTGGTATGTGATCCTCTGTGCCAGTTATGTGATTGCGTGGCTACAAGTACTAATTCGATCTTCTTTGTACAGAGGATGTGACTCCCATCCCCACTGACAGCACCCGCAGAAAGGGTGGTCGTCGTGGTCGTCGTTTGTAAGCTATCCGCGATCATATGTCGGTCTTCAGATTTGCTTTGTTCGCACTGTGCGGCAGGCATGCTACAGTTTCTGGGGGGAATCTGGAATGGCTCACTGTACACATCTATAATAAACGAGTCTGAGAACTAATTGGATTTCTGTTTGGACACTGTACATTTGGCTGCATATAACCTGGTCTAAATCACCCTCTCAATCTTCTTGATTACCACCCCCAAAGCTAATTGTGCTGACTCTTCTGGCTTTACATCCATCTTCAAATCCTTAATTTTACCACCTGGCTCTACCACGACATGGGATCTCTTGATCCCAATTTTGTTGCCCTTCTCGTCGGTTGTAGCCAGACCCAATGCTCCTGCGAATCGAAAGCCTGCATCCGTAAGCAGGTTGAATATGAATCCTTGTTGGTGTTTCCACCTGGAGTGAACGGTGGGAGTATCTCCACTATTTCACGCATTCGCATCAATAGCCTCATCAACAGTGTTGCAGGGGTCCGTCTTGGCTTACCTTACGCCAAACACTTGATAATCCGCCGAGTTGAAAGTTTTCCACGTCTCTTGAAATACAGTTGCTTGCTTCAGGCACCCGGGTGTGTCTGCCTACAAAACGCCAGTATCCAACCATGAGCGCTTAATGCAATGCGCTTACCACAGGACCCAAAACAAAATTGGGAAGAACCTACTTTTGAGAAAAAGAAAAACACCGCCCCACGCTTTTCTACAACCTGTCTCAATGCAACATTCTCGTCCCGTTCATCCTTCAATACCAAATCGGGTATCGTACCACCTTCATAGAGGGACTGGGATGTCGATTGTTGAGATGTCGTCTCGGTGCGTGTTGCAGCAGCTGGCTGGATAGGAGCCGGCATGATACTCGTTTGATAAGAGCTAAACTGTTGGTAAACGGTAATGAAAGTTGATGAAATTGGGACCAGGTAAAGACTGGGCAGTGGGAGCAAAAAAGTGAAGGAATAGCCTCAAAATGTTGGTGTGCAGGGTCGGGTGGCTTTGCAGCCCGATGACGTGAGCGCGTCACTTGGTTTTGACCTGTCAGTGATCGGGCGGATTATGTAAAATGCAAACCACACATGAAGGATGGTCTGTGCACTATCCGCTGGGGACGGAAAGACTTGCACGTACAGTCTACCCTCTAAATTGTCTGAATGGAACCTAGAGTCATTGGTATATTTCCGCCAACATCATCATTCGATCGATATAAAAGACGGTGAATATACGATTCTCAAAAGTCCGCTGGCGCTTTTACAATCAAACGCGGACATTCTTCGAACTTGGCTAAGAGCTGCGGTTGATACTCTGGAGTCAACTTGTAGTCCGGACCTTGAGGCTCTAATGGTGACAAAATATGTTTCTCATCTCACTGGACTTTCCATCAAAACAGGATTCGTCGGATGACGTTGAAAGATTTGGACAGCGCGGAAGCCGTGTATGTCCTTAACGCACGCACTGCGGCAATACGTATTTGGAAGCTTCTGGTCAGATTTCGCATCTGTCTACACGTGCTTTTGAAGGAGAACTTGCAACTTCCATTGTCCGCAAGGCGGGCTGTGAAGTCAATCGGTTTCTGGTCGGTACAATTAGTTTCAATTGAGAGAAGATGCGGTGATAGCAAATTTTTTGCCCAGTAAGACGAGCGACAAACAAATCTGATGAAAAACTCTAAATACATTGATCTTACGCAAACAATAAACTGTACACAACTTCTATCTCCAAAGAGGGAATCCCTACTCCCTTGTCCACAAATGCAATCAGCGATCATCCTCTACTTTTACACTGTTCTCGTCACCAATCTTTAACCCAAGCAACGGCGAACAGGTCAGCCATCTTAAATCTGGATGATCTGTGCACTCCTGATACTAGTTTCACCACATTTTAACTTGAGGCTAGTTTTGAGCGTACGGTATGATCACGACCCCTTACCTGAGTAAGAACAGGAACACCCATTATATCTGCTACGGCAGCGACGTATTGGATCATCATTTCGTCGAATTCGGCGGATGGGTGTCCTTGAAGCTTCTATACACTCATCGCTTTTGAGTCTGAGTCTTGAACAAGGCTAGAATCCAAGGGCTGTACCTCTTTCCAGGCCTTCTCCTTCATGCGTGTGTAGCGTTGGTAAGACTTCTCCTTTATCCCCTTGGCAAGCACGGGATCATCTAATACATCATGCTGGCATAGAGATTTGCAACAGTCTTCTGGAGATTTGCCTCCATATAGATAATCTTCCACCCCCGCCTGGCAGAATGGATTAGTACACCATGCGTTAACGAGTCAAAGAAGAGGTAACATACCTGTATTTGGAGCTCAAGGAAGAGGTCATACCATGGATCGAGGATCTTATATGGCTCTGCATCGTCGGTAGCATCTGCAGCTGCGGTTTCTTGAAGTACCCAACCGCCAACGGAGAGGAAAGTGGGAATAATAGAAGTCAGGCTTTCGGACCCGGCTTTGCGACGTGGTCTAGAGAATTGTAGATGGAGCAATGATCAGACTGTAACCCAGATTGCTTAAAGCCACTTACGCAAGTACCTATTTAAAACGACGCTGGCTAATCGATACAGTTGTATTCGGCATTTGAGGGGGGTGGTATCCAGATCCGTTAAAGTATTCAAGATATCTATGCGATGCTATGTTTGGAATTCCTTTTTTAAGCCTCCAAATTGCAGAAAGCTCGACACAAACCATCTGATATAGCACTGAAATCCTCCGCAACACGCGCGCATCCTAGTTTGTCTTTGACATCTTGTGCCGCCCGGAGGTAGTATGTTGTTGCCACGTACAGAGACTTTGCAAAAGTGTAAGAATATGATGTGCGCAACCAAGCAAGAGCAAAATAAGCGTACCCAGTCGAGGATCAGCAGCTGGATATCTGCTTCAGTGGGCGAGAGACTCTTTGTGGTTGCTAACATGGCAAGTGTTGAGGATCATGAAATGGTGTTTTCTCGTCCAGCTGTCGTATACTGCTTGGAAGCGACGTTTTAGAGGGCAGCCAGAACGCTTGGAAGTCGGCAACCACTGATGAACATGAGTTTGGAGATGAACAGATGTTTGAATGGGAAGACAGCGAGGATCTGCGGACCACGTGACTAAATCCTGCTCGCGCTTGGTAAGCGAGAGTTTTATATTGGCAATAACATTGCACTCCTTTGGTCTAGCAAGAGAACCAGCCCAGATAAGTTTAACTACTATTTTGCCTAATTACACATGCAGTTAATCACCTGGGTAACTAACGCCCACCACCACAAGAGATATCTTATAACGTCTTGTTTTGACGAACGGATTGACGTAGGAGGTCAGCGACCAGTGAACCAGAATTAGCCTCGGTAAGCATGGGATCCAATCTACAAACATACTTGCAATTGCATCAGTATAGTAGTATTAGCGTTGCAAGATAATTCTTGCTCTTTGTTGGTATATTTTGGAGGATGAGGTCCTCACCACCCGATCAGCATTCTTCTTATAATTACATATTGAGAGTCAAGGTCAAAGAACAAGCGGCAGGAGAGAGAAGAGGCTGGGGGTATTATAGAAAGATACGTGCTACTGGGAGACTATTCCGGTCATCAGATGGCCGCAAGGGCAATGATTGCAATCATGACTGCATGTGGACCCATCTTTCTTGTTTATCTTCATAATCATGTTATATCAAATGCGTTTATTTCAATTTGGCTGCAATAGCTATGTATTTTCCCACCGCTATATAGTGATAATTTCTAAGCTGCCCACCTGTCAGGCTTTTAATGACCTCCTTCATATGAGTCCGCGTAACCAGATTTCTCTGTTGCGCCTGTAATACTGATGCTCACAAACAAGTTCCACATTTCCTTACAATCTAAAGTCCAAATTTTTATCATCAATGCTCACAAAGTGAAAACTGCCTCTCAAACATCTCGTCGTTATTTTTGCCGACAAAATACTTTCGCTCCTTCATCAGCTCCTCCCGAAATACCTTGGCCTCCTTCAATGTCATGCGCCCCGGGACGTTCTCCACAATAGTTTCCGTCACGAAATCGGGCAGATTCCTGAAAGGTGCGCCAACAGTATCGGCCACCTCATGACGGAACCATTCATCCTGTTGCGGTGGAACGCGCTTCGTGGAGACGATTCGCTTGGACGGATCGACGAGGAAGAACACGAGGATTTTACGATGACCTGGCTTTGTTGGGTCGATAAGAGAAAAGGAGTCGAGTTTATGCTGGTAAATGTTTGGAAAGGCGATGCAACGGGACTGAGGCGTTTCAATGCTGCCGAGGTCTTGGTTGAGAGCCTCTTCGTCAGCCAACCCGTATATCATTTCAACACCTCGGTTGTCATTCTGCTCATAGTCGGGTTCGCAGACTGCCACTCGGAAGCCGAGTGATGATAGTGTCGTATTTTCAACAGAGTAATAGTATATACCCGATGCAATGATTTTCTCATTCATCATACCTTCCACGTGCCACACCCCACCGGGATACGTAGGATTTTCGGGAGTGAGATATATAGAAGCAAGCTTGACTATAACTTGAAGGCGGCGGTTGTTGAGTGTGACAACGCGCTCGGCAGGCGAAGGAGGCTGATAGGTCGGAACAGTGGGACTTATTGGTGTTCGAGTCATCCACCATTCTTCGTGGGCTTCGTCGTACGCTTCATCGTCTAATTCGTCAGGATCGGGTTCACCAGTGTACCAATTAAATGGGTCTACTTTGATGACATTGTCGCGGGGATTGCGAAGGTCCGTCAAGACGTTGTTGAAAAGGGGCACAAACCGTGAAAAAATCTCCGCTATAGTCTGATACAACGGTTTGTGCAGTCGGGGATGAAGGTTGTTGATGTAGGAAGTAATACCAGTTGTACCATCGTCCCGGACAACAAACTCGCTAGGAAGCCATTGAAACTTTTCAGAATACCAGTACTTTTCTCCATAGCTATCCTTTTGCAGTGGTTGAATCGCGACTGCTTCTGTTGTCCCCCCACCCATAAACTGCTGCCATGTCAGTTTCCCCGCTTCCTCTTCGGTGTATCCTCGAGTGACGTCGCTAACTAGAGGGAACAAAGAGGGATGGACAAGATCCAGCACCTGATTGTTTGATCCTGGATGCCAATCTTTTCGATGCTCAGGCACATTCTCCAGAGCTTTGACCTGCTCTACCAACTTGGCCTCAAGCTCTGGGGAGATGAGTTTATCGGCAAGATGGATACCATAAACTCCAAACCGCGTGGGTGCGTGAACAGCGTCATGCTTCAACTCTTCGAGCACATACTCAAAAGCGCCCTCTGCGATACCCCCTTGCGCATCCAATTCTTTCCGCCATTTTGACACAATTTCCTCGTTGTGAATTTTGGAGGTCCAGTTGGGCTTATTCCGAAGCGCGTTGGACAGTGATATGAGTGACAGCTCGAGAAGGGTCTTGGGCGGATCCCCTGAACCGTAGTCGTCAAAGTACTGCTTTTCCTGACCATCTGTGGTATAGAACGGACTTGGGATCCCCGATAGATCGGAGTTGTCGGCAGGGATATTGGCTGCCATTTTAGAGATCGTCCTGATGGACAGGTAAACCAAGGCGAAGCACGATGAACCGCTTCCACGTGTCGCTGCTTATGTCACCGTGCAACTTTAATTCCGTGTTTGTTTCCATCAAAGCTTACTTTTAGAGTATGCAATACACGTATGATGAGCGATCACAGAGATAGCCTACGTATCAAGTAGAACTACAGTCCGAACTGATGCTTTTCACGGAGTAGCGATGGCAACTTTATACTTTTATGCTGCTTGGGATCATTGAAAGTGCAATTAAACATTTGATGTCAGCTTGTCAACTTGCTACTCTATGTACATGCCACCTGTTGAAAGAAGTTGACCGTTTCATGCTTGGCTAGCTTAACTTTCTTACGGTTACTTTGAGGTAACTTGATATGAGGATTTTTGTGCTTGGCCAATTCTTCTGCTGTACAGTACTGTACAGTAAGTGCATAAAATGACCGCGCACCACGTGACCGCACATGACAGTTCCCTGGGTGAGTGGAGCTGTCACGTGTAGTCACATGGGGGTCCCAGTATACCTGCAAATGCTGTACATAGTGTAGAGGTGATTGAAAATGGCACTAGGACCCATTATTATCCGGCTCAATCCGGTTAATCATATCGCATAATCAGAACCCCCATCCATCGCTCAGATTGGTGTGGCATGCTAATGTTTTTTTTTTAAACTGCGGTGAGGCGCATGCCAAAGGTCTACAAAAGGGGAGTCTTCTGTCTCTTCCCTCTTTCCTCTTCCTCTTTACCCATCCTCGACTCTCAAAGCATCTGCACAACTCTCATTGCGACCCACATTGCAACCTCATCGCGACTCGGTCAACCATGAGAACGCCGATGTGGTGGTGTCGAGGACCTCGACCGCCCGACAGCAACCGTGACCAGAACCAGTGGCAACCAATCGGATCTGATAACAAAACCTACTATTATGCTGCCACATTAGTTGAGCTTGGTTGGTATGTATTGATGGCATTTCTTGCATTTCTTGTCATCGGGTCATCTTCTGACATGCAGTTTTTTTCTCTAGTCTCCAAGCCTTGTCACTGAACATCCTCCAGCTTGCGAGTCTCCCCAATGTTGCGAAGACTCTGGCTTCAATGCCATCAAGAGTTCTGGATCAAGGCCTAGTAGGGACCGTGTGTGGTGGTGGGCAATTATCCGGTTAGAACCAACCGTTACGAATTGCGTGTATAATTGCCTAGTAGTACTTAGTTAGCTTTTCCGAACCGGTTGTCGCCGGTTTATTCCCTGGTGTAGTAGCTAGTGCCAGTTTCTGTCACCTAATACACTAACTTTTTGAGTGAGATTTGTTGACTATTGCCAGTGACGAGTTAGCTAAAAACAAGACTTGAAAGCCAAGATGGTAGTAACTTGGCAAGCATCAAGGCTTCCATGTCTTTTAAGAAGTAGTTGGAAATAATTGCGTTTTCTTGGCTTGTTTGGATTCACCGGACCCAAATACTACTTCTGTATTCGGAGCGACCGGACGTTCAACAAAATCGACCCTTCCGAAAATATCGCGACCCTGAAGACCAAGGTATGCTTATTTGTGATTATAAATAAAGCATAGAGTTTTGTTTATTTAGACTCTTTAAGTTTAGCCAAAAACAGTGACAGACATTGCTACCTTGGCATCTCCGAAAAAAGCTGGATGGTGCCGATTTTTGAAATTCCAACTGACAAAATAAAGACATGGTTTTTGTGAAATATACCTGTGTTACTGTTATTCGGAGGATGGCTCCAGAGCGGTGTTCGTCTGTTCGGGTGGTTAACAGCTAAATTGCTGCTCGGCTGAGGCTTTGTTGTTTTGATGTCGTCCATGCCCGACGAGGAAGGGCGCTTATGGGTGAGGAAATTGGCGCCAAGAGGAATGGAGAACTTGAAGATGATCATCGTCCTTGATGGTCTCTGTCTATAAAAGCACTACCCAATCTCTGTCCCATTCTATCATTCGCAACTTTTACTCGCTCTTGCAACTTTCTCTTTAACTTTCCTTTTCGGATCATACCCCATCTGAATCCTGCTTTCTGCTCGTCAAATACCAGCTTTTGTTCTGTTTCAAGCTTGTTATACCTTGTCAACTACTCGTTATCTGGACCTATCAATACCATTTCATACCCACTTTCGTATTCTTGTTCAGCATAACCTGAACGAATCCCGTACATCTTGGATATCTGCTTTACGATCCGAACTCTACATCACCGCTACCTTGTGGTGACATCCAGTGCACTATATTCCTGCCTAAAACTTTTGAGATACCTTTCGGATTTACTTATACCAGAACGTAAAAGTTCACTTACATCGCGAAGAAAACCGTAACAAAAGCTTTTAAAAAACATCAAGAAAATGGCCAACGTTGCTCCTACCCTCGCTAGTGCTGATGCCTCTGTGATGTAAGTTTTGCAATTGTAGACCTTACCTTGCATGGGCATTTATTAATCTTTTCTTTCCTAGTATGCCTCTGGCAACCGCCACTGGCTTCACAGCCAGTTTGACCGTTACTGACCCCGACAGTAACATCCAGGAAGCTACCGTTTCCGTCAGCGGAGGTTACACGGCCGGTGATCAGCTCTTCTTCACCGGTACTCTTCCTGTGGGAATGACCGCCGGCAACTCCAACGGATTGGCAGCGGATTCTACCAACGCAGATGGAGTGTTGAAATTCGCTGGCTCTTTAACTCCAGCGGATTATCAGACTATTTTGCAGACGATTACTCTCAAATCGTCCAGCAAAGACTGTGCTCCGAGAACTGTCACAATTACGGCCACAGATGTCCCTGGCGCGGTTTCTGCTGCGACCACCACAACATTCGACATCAGCGGTGCTCCTTCTATTTGCTATGTTGCTGGAAATACACTGTGAGTGATTAGGACATCCTTTGATTATACATAGGGAAATGCTGTGAAATAACATCCTTTTACTTTCAACAGTATTGGAGATAACAATGCTGCGGGCGTCACTCCAATTTCTGGCGCTACTCTCTACGATGACACTGCCTTGAAGTCAGTCAGCATCGCCATCACCGAAGTCGACGCTGGCGACTTACTCTCAGTCGACCTTACAGGCATTGCGGACCTCACTGTTGGCACCGGCTATGACAGTACGACAAGAACTTTGACGATCACACCTGTCGCACCGGCCACTACGGTTGCATATTCGACTTTCCAATCGGCACTGCGCGGATTGAAATTCAGCAGCACGGGTGCCCTCGGTACTAGGACCTTGACTGTGACTGCCACCGATGCCAACGATTTGGTGCAGACGTCGTCGACTTTCACAGTTCAAAAGGTTGCTGCGCCTGTGATCGCTGCACAGGATACTAGCGCTATGTAAGTTCCGCAATGACACCGTATACAGGAAATATGAGTATATTCTTATCATCTGCCACAGAGCAAACGCAGACGCCGCGCCCGTCTCATTTGCCTCTCAAGTTGCGATCTCAGATGCTGATTCCACCCAGCTAAGCAGCCTTACAATCCGTGTAAGCAATAACGCTTCAGCTCAGGACACCCTTGATGTTGACCTTGGGTCTGCTGTTCCTATGCTTACAAAAACCTGGAATTCCGTGGAGCGCAAGCTTACGGTGTCGGGACCGGGGACCATGGCCGACTACCAGACAGTCCTTCGTACATTGACATTCTCGACTACCAACTTAGGCCCCGGCCAGAGGACAATTGAGATTCAAGCCTTTGATTCAGACCTAATTGGCTCTACTCCAGTGTCCAGTTATATCACTCTGAACGTGCCCCCGACCATTGCCCCGTTGACCGCTCAGTCCATCCGTGCCCACTTTGGCTCAGAGCCAATTCTCCCCAACATTACTCTAGGGGACAGCGATGGCACACAGCTCAAAACTGCCGTGGTCAGTATTGATGCAGGATACTTTGCCGGTGATGCCGTTATCGCCGCCGATTCCCTGTCTATAACGGGCAGTCCTAACATTACGGCCTCTGCGTTCAACTCGTCCACTCTGTCGATGACACTCAGCGGTTCCGCGAACATTTCTGACTACCAAAATGTTCTCCAGACCTTGCAGCTGTCATCGTCCAAATCTGGTGCCAGGACGATTGGAATCAAAGTCATAGACATGGATGGAGGTGTTTCCGACGTTGCGCAATATACTGCAAATGTTTACGAGATTCCCCGTATCTCGATGGATTCTCGCCTTCTGTAAGTGCCAATCGTCATGGAAGGCGCAAAACTTTGGCTTATGATGCGCTTCTTTACTTTCCGTAGAATTAACGAAGGCACAACGGATGCCAAGCTCGCTCAGTACTTGTCATTGGCCGACCCCGACAGTGGTCAACTAAAATCAGTTACCGCCGAGTTGACAGGCTACATCCCCGATGTCATCAATGGTACGATCGCAGAGGGAAGCGCTATAACTAGCGTCATCGAGGGGTCGAAAGTGACCTTTAGCGGTCTTGCCCCGTTGAGCGAATACCAATCTCTTCTGCGTACCCTTGTTCTGGGCTCAGCGCAAAGAGGCTCTGGGTCCCGAATTCTCTCTATCAAAGCAAAGGATGATACCGATATGGAGTCTCTGATGGCGACAACCAACATAAAGATCAACAGCGCTCCAACCATTGCTTTGCCCAATTCATACCTTGCTTACGAGCATGGTCAATCCTTCATTCCACTTCTCTCTGGTGTGCAGTTGGCTGATGTGGACAACACCGTCATCTCCGAGGCCGTTATCCGCATTTCACCTCTTCGTCACAACGCTACCACCGACAGTCTCTCGTACGCGGGTGGTTGTGCATCAGGACTTAGCGGTTGGTTCGACAAGGCAGCTGGTACCCTTACATTCCAATCGGTTGGGCCGGTAGACAATTACGCCAATGTTGGCGCATCCCTCTCCGGATTGCAAGACTGTTTACGCACGGTTAACTTTGCTACAACGAGCCTGAGCGAGTACACACATGAACTAGAGCTCAGTGTCTCGGATGGGGCTGCCACGTCACAGATAACGACAGTGAAAGTTGTCCCATTCTCCAAGTCCGTCACCAGTGTGCCCGATGCTGGGACGAATAGCACTCAAGTCCCAACGAGCATCGTCATTCCTGTCACGCAATCCAGTACCCAGCACCGGATTGCGCCCCAAGTCTCAATCCCTCCCAGCATGACTAGCATGCAGATGGCCAAAGCATACATAACGGAAGGGTATATCCGAGGTGAAGATACTCTTGTGCTTAACAATACTGCTCCAGCAATCAATCAGACGGCTACCCTCCGCAAACGTGCCGTCGAGGACATCACCGCAGCCTTTGATCCCGTCGAGGGTTCGTTGACCTTGACCGGCAGCGCCGCTCCGGCCGATTTCCAGTCAGCGCTGCGCAATGTACACTACGCAAGCCTTGTGGAGACTCCCTCTACGACAAACAAGGTATTTGGGTTTGTGGTTTCCGATGGAGCGAATCTTGTGGCGTTGCCTGTCACCAAGTTGAAGATCAACAGAGCGCCAACGGTTGTTCATACGTAAGTCACTGGCATGCTCGTGCGTTCTGAAAAACTTTTAGTTTTAACCGAATTCAACAGTCCACAGGATTACAGCTACTACCCCAATACTCCCTTCACATTCCAAGTCGACAGCAACCGCACATTTGCTGACCTTGACGGCGACGCTCTGACCATATCCGCCAGCTCCCTCCCAACATGGGTAACCTTTGACGCAACCACAAACATGTTTGCAGGCGTCACCCCCGCCACGATCGGCAACACCGATATTGCCGTGGAAGCCTCAGATGGATTCGCCTCAGTCGGAACGTCATTCAAACTCCAGGTGGAGCCTGCTCCCGCCTCGTCAAACAAGAGCGGAAAGATTGCTGGAGGTGTGATCGGGTCGGTTGCTGGATTGGCGGTTGTAGGGTTGGGTATGTGGATGTACCGAAAGAAGAGGTCGCATTTGTCCGCAGTTTAGAACCTTGAACGCTTGCAAAAACCGGAAAAAACCAGAAAAAAGAAAACGAAACTAACAAAAACGACTACCTTAAAACTTAGAACCAGAAAAAAAAAGGCAAAAAAAAGAATCTAGCACGTAGAGTACAAAGTTGTTTGTGGCGGATATAACTTTAAACAAAAATAAAAAAATATGACTTTTACTATATCTCTTCTGCCATTGCCCATCAGTAAATAAAGGATACACTCCTAGGTTACCTTCACTTGATACCTAGGTATCAGGAATAGATTGACCATTCCCATTCATCAGATCAGCTTCATACGAATCAATGTGCTGAAAACAGTCAAGGGTGTGGGAAGCACTTGTCACTCCTCGACTGACCACACGGCTGTAAGCATCTTCTTCTTTGGCTATCGCCCTGTCTTCATTCTGCGAATCAGCGTCAAGTTTATCTTGTCCGTTATGGGCTCGTTAACATTATTCATATTTTTATAAGAATAAGTTGATTCCGCAAAGAAGATGGGCATATACAAAGGATATTCATCATGCGATAGGAAGGAGGATGTTGACAAATTTGGAACCTTAAAGTCTTTTCTCCGCAATAAATCGTTCTCAGAATCCTCTGCTTCATCCTGTTCGTAATGATATTTGAAGCCTTATATGAGCGGTGACACTTGCACATCCTTTCCGTACAAGGAAATAGGCTTCTCAAATTGTCGGCCTGTGATACTCCCGATATGTTCTGGTACTGTGCTCGAGTGCTTTCTAAATAATCTCTCGAGCGAGTTACAGAACAAGCGCATACAGGTTCTCCTGAGCGGGATAATAGTCAAACTTTATGAGCGCATCTTGGTCAAAATCATGTTCATAACTGCTTTTCGACAATTTCAAAATATTCAATGATGTGGTCAGGCGTAAGAGCCGCGCACGAAGACGTGGGCATATGAAAGTTGGTAAGGAATTCGTAGCCAAGTCTAGGTGGCTTACAACGAGTAATGAGACTAATCTTCATATACAGTGAAGTGGGCATCACTGTAAACGACATGATTTCGGATTGGACCACTTGACGAGTTGAATTCTGGATGAAGATTTACACCATATAACGCCTTCCTCACCTGCGAACCGTTGAATATGCCAGGTTTGTGTACTCGGCACAGAAAGTATGTAAACCAAGGGTGGCAGGAAGTCATAGGGAAAGTCATGGGCATGGAAACGCTCAACATGCAGGAAAGGTGAGGTGACCGAGCTTGTCCAAAAACATCCTCCTTTTCTTTGTACATGTATGCCATAACCTATCACACATTGACCAGTGACGACAGAGACCTACTGCTTTTACTTCCAGCCCTTCTCGAATAAACTCCATCCTCCTCAACCGCGTGTCCCAGCAACGTACTACCCTCATCCCCCTTTCTTCTCCTCTCCTTTCGTCTCACAAGAGTCTCATCATGCACAGCACCAATAATAGATCCCTGCGAGATACCAATATCCGTCGTGTCATTCAAGGGGCGTTCAGAAGAGTCGGAAGGGGATGTTGATGGTGCGGGGGAAGGATTTGAAGGTGGGACGAGGTCGTGGAGGGATTGTCGGACGAGGGAGATGAGAGCTGATACTTGTTTTTTACGGGATGCGAGTTTTTCGTCCAGAGGTGTTTGGGTGGGGTGTTTTGGTGGGCGGGTTGTGACGGGTTTGACGATAGGATGAGAGAGGGGGTCCTATGTTTTGCGTAGATCAGTATACATTCGGTTTGGCAGAGAAAGCACGGTTGAAAAAAAACATGCTGAGAGAACGAACCTGATCTTCCCCTTCAACCCACTTCCACACTCCAACCGGTGTCCGTTCTCCAAAACTCACAAAGCACACCATGTGCTCCCATGGATGAAATCCGACATCCACTACAGTGGTACCCACCTCGTATACTTTTACTGTTTTTCCTGTATCCGTTTCCCAGACCATAACCCGGGAATCTTCCGTCCCACTCAGGACATAGGAGCCGCAGGGTGTATAGGTTGGTCTGATAAAGGTTGTATGCGTGGTTGTTGTTGGTGCGCCGGTGTAGGTTGTTAGGATGCGGTAGACTCTGGTGTCGAGGGTGTGCAGGGTGTGTGTGGAGAGGTGTACGAGGATCCTTCGATTGTGTGGATGGAGTTTGAGAGTTGTGATGGGTGTGCCCTAGTTACATACATACATTGTCAACCCTGTTTGATGGAGCGCACCCATGATAAACCAAAAATACTAAAAAAAACATACCTGAAATCCTCCATATTTTTTCACACAAACAAACCCGCCCTCTCCAGTCTCCTCACTCCAAACCCGAATCATACCTTCCCCATCCGCACTAAACAACCGGCCGGAAGCATCAAAGACAACGCTGTTTACGTTCTTCTCGTGTCCACGGAGGATTTGTGTGGGGAGGGGATCGAGGTGCGATTTACGGGTGTGGTGCAGAGAGTAGATGCGAATGAGGGTGTCGTAGCATCCTGTTGCTATTCGATTTGTGTGCGAATTGGGTGATGTAGCGGTGGGATGAGATGGGCTGTGGAATGCGTGTTGGTGGGCATATGTTGGATGAAAGGTTGCTGTGTAAACGTAGGACGGATGATGAAGAATCAAGGAGGGAGCACTGGGGGGAAAAGACCACACGCGGACCGACCCGTCCGATGATGCAGAGACAAGCTCACTAAACCACAAAAGTCAACAATCTCTACTTTAGGGCGCAAAAACTTTATTAATAGATACCTATCATCTCGGGCCCAATTCACCTCATAAACCAAATCAGCATGCCCAGTGAGGACCGCCACGCGTTCCGCGGTCAAGACACGGTAAACCTTGATCGGGTATCCACTCTCATCCATGCAGGCTATAGCAAGGTACTGCCCACTATGCGAGAACGAGCAGGTAAAGGCTCCTCTATGGCCATGTTTGTTAATATTTAGTCTAATTAAACAGTACAACGGGGGACATACTTTGTTCCTGAGTCAATACGGTAGAGAATGGTATTAGGGAGTTTGCACCGTTGTCCTTGTCGCCGACGCCATTGTGGGTGCTTTTGCTGTATAAAATATCAGATATGAAGGCCGTTAGGCAACGTGGCGGGATGAATGTTCGTACCTGGGTAGGTGTCGAAACAAGAGGACTAGTAACCGATTCCCCAATCTGTCTTTTGGCATGGTACATATGCAGTAACTAGAACCAAACCCGTCAATTTCCCCCATTTTACGACAAAGGATACCCCCCAAAAAGCATGAATGCACGCACCTGTTCCAAGCTCTCCTTTCCAACCTCCACATCCGTTGGCAGAATAGCACGTCCAGTGACGTGTCGAGGTGGGAGGGGATGTCGACCGGATACAGTGACATACAATGTCGACTCAAATTTCTTTCGTTTCTTTGCTTGAAAGCAGCGGTAGACGAGAGGAATCGGGTCGGAAGGAGAGGATGGATGTGGGAAGAGTGGGTACTGGTAAAGCTGTAATCGCGCCTGTAAAGAATCAGACAGGATTGTGAGGTCCTATTTGGCTGCATGGTGTGGTCAAATACAAATAGTTTGTGTGAGGCGCACTTACTTTTTGTTCTGTATTTGCCTTTTTTCCTGCGCTCACTAACTTGAGAAACCCCCACGCAATGCGACGGTACCCATCTGACTGTCCCCTAGTACCCACAAAAAAAAGGATTAATTTTACATATGTTTATTCATAAAATATCAGCCATAACGTACCTAATCACTGCTTTTCCGGTGACAAGTTCCAGTACCTCAAACATCACCATGACGTTCTCAACGGAAAGAAGGTGGAGATAGCCTTCGTTGAACACGAGATCTTCTTCCCAAGCGGGTACGGTGGTTTGATGGTGCGGGAAGCTGAATGGCTTGGAGGGGAAATATTTGTTTTGGGTAAGACTGCAAGATAACCGAAAAAGAACATTTCAAAAAGTTATATACCTTTGTCATGGCGGGGAGGATATACGAAACATGATCGGGTTCATGCCGAGTCGTGACAGGTCGGTTTGGATCGGATTTGGGAATGTATTTACCTGTTTGTGCGTCTAGAAATAGTTTTTATAATTGAGCGTTTACTCAACTGTATGCACAAACAGCAACCAAAATGAACGTACCGAGAATGTGAACTCTTACCAAGGGTGCAGCAACCCGTGCATCTAGTTTGAACCGATCAGCACCATGGATGCGTATATTGACAATAGAGTGTTCAAAATCCGATAACGGACGACTGAGATGCGAAAAAAGCGTATCAGGCTCAGATTGCGCAGCGGATTTTTTCGATTTCCGCTTTTTTGGGGGTGTATCCTGTTTCGGTTGTGGAAGAGGCGGTGGTTGAGTTTGCTCAATGAGATTCTCTGTCGAACCGGTTTTTTCTAATCGCCACATGGACGCAACTGATCTCCAGCTGAATAAGGAACGTTGGGGTTTTGTTTGTGCGGGTTGTGAAATGTTTTCGCGGGAGGTTGCGGGTGAGCCTTTCAGGGGGACGTAGGTGGGTTCGATGGCGTCGAGGGAGTGCCATGAGTGGGTCGCGAGGGATTTGCGACTGGGTGGCCGGCGTGATGGGGGGGATGGGGGTGGATGGGAAGGTATGAGTGTCGGTGATGGGCTGGGTTGGCTTGACGTTGGGTTAGTGGCGGGTTGTTTTGAATCCATTCCTGTCGTGCTCCCTGATATTGATCGTGTCTTGCTCTTTTTCTTTTTGTGCTTTTTTTGAATGTTGGGTCGTGCATCAACGCTCGATTTGGACCCCCTCCTCTTCACCCCTGCCTCATCACCATCAGAATCCTTTCTCACTCGCGCACGCACGTCACGCGAGACAGACCGTTCAGATCCTCTCTGTCTCTCGACACTCTTGCCGGATTCAGACCGCCTCCGCTTAACCTCTTTGATTCCTTCTCCATCATTTTCAGAACCCTTCACTCTCCCACCTTCACGCGAAACGGACCGAAGAGATCCGCGTCTCTGTTTTTCGGCACTCTTACCGGATTCAGACCGCCTTCTCTTGACCTCTTTGATTCCTTCTCCATCATTTTCAGAACCCTTCACTCTCCCACCTTCACGCGAAACGGACCGAAGAGATCCGCGTCTCTGTTTTTCGGCACTCTTACCGGATTCAGACCGCCTTCTCTTGACCTCTTTGATTCCTTCCCCGTCATTGTCAGAACCTTTCCCCCTCCCACCTTCACGCGAAACGGACCGAAGAGATCCCCGTCTCTGTCTTTCGGGCTTGTCCGATTTAGATCTACGTGTCTTATCGGGTTCATCAATGGGTTCAGTTCGTAATGAGTGCGGTTCAGACAACTTCGTAGCTGATAAAGCTTTGAGCCGTTTATCGTGTTTTGATCGAGTTTTGCGTCCATCTTTGTCAACGTTGTTTTTAATGTCTTGTATGGAAGGTGGGTTTCGAGATGTTGATCGAGTACGATGTTTCTCGTCATCACCCTTGTTGTTTCTTTGGTCAGATTTCGATTCAGGATGTTTAGATACTGATTGAGACCTTATTTGATCGGTTTGGATAGTGTCTGTACCGGACTCGTGGGGTTTGCTAGATCCCGACATGGAGTGATCACCTTCCTTTAAGGGTTGCATAGATTCAAGACGAGATCGGGACCGGCGTCGTGGGGAAATGGGTGCATTGGGATCTATGGGAGTAGGCTCGGGTATCGGACGTTGCATCAAAGATTGTATTCGTGCAATAACAAAAAACCTGTATAGCTATCCAAATGAAGCACACCTCTACAAAGGATGGTATTTCAAGCTGATTACATAACGCGTTCTGGGTCCAGTGGCTGTGAAATTCATACGGTTTTCTTTGTTGGGCTACAAACCATTGGGGGCAAGATGCGGATTGATAAATGTCTCCAGAGATGGAATTCCGTGCGTGGGTATGCGGCGCCAAGAAAGAAAAAGGTGGAGGGGTTAGGAAGGGCTGGGACGAATTTGAAAATGGTAAAGAAATGAAACGTGATGCATGTCTTTTTGTGTGTGATGTTGTAGTAAAGGCTTTTTTGGAGTAGGGAATTGTGGGTATGCCCAACGTGGGGAAATCCTCATTCTTTAATGCGTTAACAAATAGTTCTGTTGCTGCCGAGGTAAACATGGTGGATTGCATTCTTTTTCTTTCGCATGTAGTCATGAACATAACATCTCTCAATTCGCAGAATTATCCATTTTGCACCATTGACCCAACAACAGCTCGCACAGCTCTACCAGACCCACGATACGACCACCTCCTCCATCTCCACAACCCAAAAACAAGTGTACCATCCTACCTCACGACAACAGATATAGCCGGCCTCGTACGAGGTGCACACCAAGGACACGGACTCGGAAACAATTTTCTAGCACACATTCAAGCTGTGGATGGATTGTTTCATTTGGTGAGGGGGTTTGGAGGGGATGTACTTCATGTTGAGGGGAATGTGGATCCTGTGAGGGATGTTGGGATTATTAGGGAAGAGTTGTTGAAGCGGGATATAGGAGTTTTGGAAAGGGAGAGTGCGAGGAAACGGGGGGATATAGGGGTTTTGGGTCGGGTTTTGGAGTGGGTGAAAGGGGGCCAAGAGGTTCGGACGGGGAATTGGGATGAGGAGGAAGTGGAGGTGATTAACACGTTGGGACTTTTGACGGCTAAACCCGTTGTCTACTTGGTATGTTAAAGTTTGTTTGACTTTTAAAACTGACTACGAACCAATATTTCAATACCTTCAAGTGCAACACCAGTCCCGAATCCTACATTCGCAAACAAAACCCATACCTCCCCCACCTAAAAGCCACGCTCCCAAACGACACACTCATTCCCTACTCTGGAACACTCGAAACGACACTCGCGAGTCTCCAGCCGGTAGAACGCGCCGCGTATTTGCACGATATGGCAATCAAGTACGATGCACCTGGTCCAGTCGTCTCGGCGTTACCGGGAATAATATGGGCAGGGTATAAAGCTCTTGGACTCATCAACTGTACGTATAAATATATTGATGTTGGTTTAGATGATGGGGTGCTGAATTTTGTGTACCAGTTTTTACAGCATCGGAAAAGGAAGTTCGATCCTGGACAATTCGACAGGGAACAAAAGCTCCACAAGCCGCTGCAGTCATTCACACCGATTTTGAAAAATCCTTTGCGGGTGTGGATGTTACGTCTTTTGACCGGGTTTTGCAAGAAGGTGTCACGGCCAAGGCAGTTCAAAGAGGAAGGGACTATGAGGTTGAGGATGGAGATGTTGTTTGTGAGTTTTCTTTTTTTGTTTGTTGGTGTTGATTTTAAGAGTTTATGTGGATTTGTTTTCTGACTTTTGATCCAGACTTTAGAATTGCGGCAAGGAAAAAGTAGATTGTGAACTGAGTATAGGACGAAATACAAACATTTAAACAAGATTATTTTTTGTTGAGAATAAACCGGGCACGGCAAGCAACATTGCGCATTACAGATCACACTATACCATCCTCTTGTTTCATTTCACGCTTTGCAATATGTTTATCACTTGTTTGGGTCTTTTGTAAAGTAGATGGGATAAGCTGCCACGATCGCGCGTAGTGGCTTGTCAACCAAAGATCCTGTACACGCGTACAAAAAGGGAACGTGTCCGAACTCGCAACTTTGTTGCAATCATCATACGAAAGCGAAATGCCTCTAGGTAAGAAACCCAAATACCAATATGAGATAAAACATACTCACAATATACATAGACTACAGCAAATGGGATAAACTCGAATTAAGCGATGACGAAGATTTCGAATGCCAGTACGTAAAAAACCCTCAACCCAAAGAAAACTCTACGAGTTCTTATCCCAAAAAAACCATATAAACATTTACACATTTTTCTTTTACGCACTAGTCCAAATGTCGACAAAGCCTCCATGGTTCGCTGGCGCCAATCCGAAATCCACCGACAACGACACGCCCGAAAAGTAAAACTTGAATGCCTATCGCATGAAACCCAAATCAACACCCAAGCCCAATCCGCACTGCAAACCCTCTTAGATTCGCAAGACGCTTTATCAAAATGTCGACATCTCGTGGGTGTGGCAAAAACATGGGACAAGGAATTAACTGAAGCGTACTATAAGCGATTGGAAATGGATTGGGATGCACGGTGGGGGCCTGTTCAACCGGATGTATTTGTCGAAGGGCGGGTTGAGTTTTCGGAGCTTTTTGGTGGTGTTTTGGAAAAGTTGGAGGGTGGGGATGTTCAGAGTGTTGTTGAGGGTGCTGTTGCGAGGATTAGGGAACGACAAAAGCTTGTGGATGATGTTGTGAGGAGGGAGGAGGAGGAGGCTAAGAAGAAGGTTACGGTGGATGATTTGAAGGAGGGGTTTAATAAGACGGTATGGGATTTTGTAGCGTGCTTTCTTGGGAATGTGCGTTTTGCTCATGTTTTTCTTGTTTTTTTTGGGAGTAGGTCATGTCTAAAAAAACCGTCAAGCCAAACGAGAAGCAGACGGTTATTGAAACGATTCATACACCCGGCAATGGAGCTGGGGCTAGCCATGTTGTATGTTTTCTTGTTTTTGTTTTGGTTCGCTCTATTGGGTGCTCATCATTCCATACGGCTGGTTCACATTAGCAGTCAAACCCTCCCCCACCACCACCGTCGGAAGAAGACGACGAGGAGGCCGACCGTATCACATACCCCCCCGCCGAGGCCTTTTCAAAAATTTCTACAATGGAACAGAGTTTTGCGTTTCTTCTCCAAAACCCTACATTGGTCTCACAACGCTATTCAGACATGATTCTCGCTGAAGCTTTTCGGAAGCAAATGGACGGACAGGATAAAGAAGCGAGACAGTGTGTCCAGCAAGCGTTGTTGTTGCAGTATTGTGCATTGTTGGGTGGAGATGGCGTACGACTGTTTTTTACCCGGTATGTCCTAAGCCTACTCATATTGAATAACGGAAAAGCAATGATCAAACTTGTAAATTAGTCTCTCATCACCCAACCATACGGCCTCAACCATGTTCCACAAGGACGTATTAGAAACCTACACCCGAATCCAAACCCGCGTACAAACCCTCCTCGCCGAACAATCCGCAACCCAAGCCGCCGAACGCGCCGCCCTCGAACAACGCCTCGCATCCTGTACTCGACCCGACGGAACATACTTTTTACCGATTTCAGAGGATGCGTCCGAGGAGGAACGTGAGCGATCTCGAGTGTTTGGTGAACTTGCACCGGAATTCCAGAAAGCACTGTTGTTGCAGGATGTGGATTTGATTAATGGGTTTTTGTCGAGTGTTGGGCGGGAGGAGGGGGAGAGGGTTGTGAGGTTATGTTCTGGGGTGGGGTTATTGGATCTAGAAGAAGAAGAAGAAGAGGGGGACTCGTAAAGGAGTTACAATCAATGTATACATTTTATTTGGAGACGCAATGGGAAAACTATGTATGTTTTTCATATTCCAACACAAGTTTCTTGTCAGTCGTAACGACCCTCCACCCAACCCTCTCCAAAACCTTGTCCAAACCCCTCGCAAAACCCCCTAACGCATAAACCACCCAAAAATACATGAAAAACTGAATCCAAACCGTAACCCAATACCCCACTTTAGAAAACGGTTGCGGAATGACGGCACCGACGATATCCGCTGTAGGATAATAATCTTCTTGACGTGATATATAGTATTTTGTTTTCCCGTCTTCTTTTTGGATGGGTTTGAGGTGGATGATGGATATCACTCGGGCTGTTTGGGGTTTTGGTGAGGGGTAGATGATGGGACTGAATTCGTAGGATATGTCTGATACGAGTTTTGTTTTATGCGTGTTTAAATCTAAAAGTGTGTGTGTATTGTTTAAAAGTTCTGAAAAAACAAACGAAAAAAAGAAAATGTGGGGTATCTTACATAAATCATGAAAAACAAGTGTGGGAAACCGTTTATTCATCCTCCCCCACTCTAAATACACCTTTCCAAACCCATTTTGACCGGAAGCAATGAAGAATGGGTGTATGAATTCTGCGTTTGGTGTTGTGTATTTTTCAAGAGTTTTTTGGATGCTTTCGGGGTTTGTTGAGAGGAGGGTGGATACGATTTGGGGGAATTCTTTGATGGGGTTTTCCATTCTTTTGTGTTGAGTTGGGAGGGTTGAAGGAGGGGAGGGTTGGCAAGAATGGATTGGGATTTAAAGAAGAGTGTTTTGATGATTGCTTGGTGTGATTTCTGTAGATGCTGCGCATGTATTTAACAAAAGTGTTCCAATAGGGGTGTGAAATGATGTCATTTGTGGGATTTTCTTTTTTTGGGCACACTCGACCATGCATGGTTTTTCGACCTGTCCAACGTATTTCGTATTCCGGCAGATGACGATGTTGGCAGTTATAGTGCGGAATGCATAACACCATGCAAAAGTATCTGTAGCATCTGTAGCTATTCCCAAACTGGTTAAGGTTTTCTGGATGGACTGTTGATTTTGGTCATTTCTGCGTGATTGGAAGGACCACTTTTTTGCCATCTCCTCTTCCTCTCTGCCCATGGCTGTGTACTTTTTGGACAGAGTTCTTGTCGGCAGCAACCGAATGGGAATTCAACAAAGTTGACCTCGTCGTTAAGTTGCACATTAATGAAGAACACCACGTGATGTTCTCTCTCATCGTCGTCAGGTTCACGGGTAATCACGTGATGTTCTTCACTAATGTGCAACTAACTTGTGAGGAAGTGGGATGAATAGTTTTCAACCAGGAAATGGCTTGGTATTTTCGCGGATTGAGGATTTGTTGTATTGTCGATTCGGCCATATGGTTTTGGGTGATTGGAGCTTATGCTCTCGGCTAGATGTGCCTTGTAGGCAGTTACCGAACGGGAGTCAAACGGGACGCGAGAGCCCATTTTTTCTATTCTGCCCATTAAAGACCTACTTGTCACTCCTACAGCCGTTATTCATCACCACTTTGTTGATGCGCCTTGGGTGATAAGAAGAACTTTATGCCATCTCTTCTCGGCATGTGTGCCTTGTAAACCGGGGCCATCTGTTCTGCCCATTGAAGCCCTACTTGTCACTCCTACAAACCGTTATTCATCACCACTTTGTTGATCCGCCTTGGGTGATAAGAAGAACTCTAGAGCCTTGTGAACGGGGGCCAAACGGGCGCGAGAGCCCATTTATCTATTCTGCCCATTAAAGCCCTACTTTCACTCCTACAACCGTTATTCATCACCACATTGTCGAGGTGATAAGGAGAACTTTATGCCATCTCTTCTCGGGTTGGGTTCCTTGTGGAGAGCCAAACGGTGGAGAGTGGCTATATTTCTATTCTGCAACATTAAAGCCCTACTTTATGCGGGGGTATAACTTTAAACCATTTAAGAAAAAAAACTGTATTTCCCGATATTGTTTGGGCCACAGAACCGAAAAATCCAAAAGAAATGCCAGAGTGAAGGTCCAAAAATGCCAATCTGCGCCCCCATGTTTGTTTACAAACTAAAACCACAAAAATGTTATTTTCCGATATTCGTTTGGGCCACAGAAACAGAAAACCCCCAAAAGAAATAATGATGACCCCTCTAGGAAGATGACCCTGTGCAGAAAAACGCTTTCAAATGCACTCTCAAATGGCAAGCCGACAACCAAAAAGTTTTTGAAAAATGTCGTCTGCGCCCAATTGTCGGAGTTTACCCAACTCCTTCACTCCGCACCGCCGCCCACATGAGAGCAGCATGCACAAGCAATAACACCATTTCCAACAACTTTTTTTGGAAAGGAGCGGCATAATGGCCATCCCGTTCACCTGTACTTCAAAAAAAAAGACTGCAAGCAAAAAAAAAACAAAACAAAGGACACGCTTGCAATGACACTTCTCAGACATGCCACAGAGGGGAATGTGGGCCATGCCATGTGCTTTTGCCTTTTGGGATCTATATTCTGGTTGGTTTTGGACCATTGCTCGTTGTGGTTAAAGACCAAAAAAAAATGAGAAGACTGGCGGCGGCGGGAGGGGGAGTTGAGATGGCCCGACTCAATTCGTTGCAAAAAAAAAAAAGAACGGTTTGCAAAACGAGTTGAGGATCTCCAATATAAATATCTAGGTTTCCAGATGCCTTCTTCACTCTATTCAAGTTCCTCACCTCTTCACTTGTCTTTGTGTTTCTGACCATGTTGTCCTTCCTGTTTGTTCCTCTCATCCTCGGATCTCTGGCTCAAGCCGCGAGCGTTCCCGCGTGGCAAGCCCCGACAGCAGGAGATGTGCGCTCTCCCTGCCCCATTCTCAACGCGCTTGCCAACCACGGGCTCATTAACCGGAACGGTAAAGACATTACACCTGCGCAATACACGGCTGGATTGAAGACGATTGGATGCGATCCTGTCTTGTGTGGAGCGCTGGCTCAAGCTGCTCTTAACGTTATTCCGAACCGCAAGAATGAAAAGGGTGAATCTGTGTTTGGATTGGATGATTTGAGAACGCATTTGGGGATTGAGCACGATGCCAGTTTGACCAGGTAAATCAAAAACAAAAAACTTTATAAACTATCGGCACTTCAGTCAAGAACATCCCGTGATAACACGTGGACTTGAGAGAGAATATCACGTGATGCTCTTGCGAATGTGCAGTTACTGTTATATCCACCTTTATATCGTAACTCACAGTTTTTTATCGTTAGAAACGACTATGACCTGGACCCCAACCATGACAACTACTCTCTCAACCGCACTCTCTATGACCAACTTGTTTCATTGAGGGACCCGCAAACCCAACGCCTTGACGCAACCTCGATTGCACGGGCCCGCAAGATCCGCCAAAAGGATTCCAAGGACCGGAACCCCAAGGCAACGCTCGACAGGAAGCAGCTCGCACTTGCGCACGGCGAAGGAGCGGCGTTCCTGATGATCATGGGACACCAGTACGGATACTCTGTTCCTGTACCCTATGCGAAAGGGTTCTTTGTGGACGAGAGGTTGCCGTTTGAAGAGGGATGGGAGCCTAGTGCCAAACCGTTGAGCTTTATGGAGTTGGGATTGAATGTGGGTGCCGTTATTGAAAAGGAGCTTACCCTCAAGAATTAGAGCGTCATAGCAACCATGAGAAGAATATAGATAATGAGAATATAGAAAAAAGAAAAGAAATAGATGGGTAGAAATCAGTAAGATAGCGATATAAAAAGTGTCTATGAGTCTGTAAAACACACAAGATCCCATATCACGTGATAAAATAAGCGATCGTGGAGAGAGAGAGTAAGAGAGAAACGCTTGACTTCAAGAGAGAGTAAGAGAAAGAGAGAAGAAGAAGAAGAGAGTAAATGAATCATAATATATAATAATAATCAATTCAACTGACTTTAACTCGCATGATTTCATTCTCACATTCACATTCACATTCACACACACACACTCTCTCTCCCAATTGTATGTAATCTCTCTCTCTCTCTCTGTGTGTGTGTGAGTGTATGAATGAGATTGTTCACGTTGTTTCTCTCTCTCTCTCTTTCTCTTTTTTTTTTCTTTCCTTCTCGTTCACACACACACACTCTCTCTCTCTCTCTTACTCTTACTCTCTCTCTCTCTTTTTTTTTCTTTCTTTCCTTCTCGTTCACACACACACACACTCTCTCTCTCTCTTACTCTTACTCTCTCTCTCTCTATTACAACAACAACAACAAACAAACAACACACGCTTGATCATGTGACAATTCTCTCTCTTCTATTCGGAATTCATCGGATACATTACTCACGTATTCACCCGATAGTATTCGGATAGTATCGGATTATTGTCGTTTTATTTTCATTATACACGTCATTCATGTCACATGCGCGCGCCTCACTTGTTCCCGATTCTTTCCAGGGCATAGGAACTAGGTGCACAGGGCGCTTGTTTACGATCGGGTGTTTACGGTCTCTTACTGGCATTTCCCGCATTGCCCGTTTCTTTCCTATTATTTTTTATTTTTTATTATTTCACACTTGCTTCTTATAAAAGGTGACTTGCTTCTCTTCCCCCCTTCTCATTGACTCGACCTTCCTTTCCCCCCCATCCAACACACACTTTTACACACACACACGTTTTCTGTAAGTTGCCTGCTGGGGTTGCAGGTCACCTGCGCCATTTTTTTGTTTGTTTGTTCATATACTCACTCATCCTCTCTCTCTCTTTTCTGTTGCTAGTCACCTCGTTGTTACAACACTCGCTTACACACACACACACATACAATCATGATTGCCAACGGCCGCACAACCGGTGACGAAATTCACGACGAAATTCACGAGGCCCTTCACACGGTCGCCCGTGTCGACTATGACAAGCCCATTATCAGGAACGCTTCCGTTCCCGTCTTGTACGAAGAGGCCCTTGAACACGAGGTTGGAACAGGTCTGACTGCCGCAGGTGCCCTCGTCACAGACTCTGGTGCCAAAAAGGGTCGCTCACCCAAGGACAAGCGTATCGTTGAGGAAGAGTCGTCAAAGGACAATGTCTGGTGGGGCCCCGTCAATGTCAAAATGTCGGAAAATGCCTTTATGGTCAACCGCGAACGCGCCATTGACTATTTAAACACGCGCTCCCGTCTCTACGTGTTTGATGGTTTTGCCGGCTGGGATCCAAAATACCGCATCAAGGTCCGCATTGTATGCGCCCGTGCCTACCACGCCCTCTTTATGAGAAACATGTTGATTCGTCCCACTGACGAGGAGCTGGCCAACTTTGGTGAACCCGACTTTACCATTTTCAACGCTGGTGAATTCCCTGCCAACCGATACACGACCGGCATGACCTCCACCACCAGTATCTGCTTGAACTTTAAGCGCGCTGAAATGGTGATTCTGGGCACACAGTATGCCGGCGAGATGAAAAAGGGGTGAGCACCCGCGTGTAGTTTGCAAATCATTTCATGTCTTTTACTAAACTTTTTTAAAGTATCTTTACAGTGATGCACTATTACATGCCAAAGGCCGGCGTCTTGTCGCTCCACTCGTCGGCCAACGAGGGCCCCGACGGCGACGTGTCGCTCTTTTTCGGTCTCTCGGGTACCGGCAAGACCACCCTCTCGGCCGACCCCCACCGCTTCCTCATTGGTGATGATGAGCACTGCTGGTCAGACGATGGCATTTTCAACATTGAGGGAGGATGCTACGCAAAGTGCATTGACTTGAGCGCCGAAAAGGAACCCGAAATTTTCAATGCCATTCGCTTTGGCTCCGTCTTGGAAAATGTCGTTTACGACCCCGTGTCGCGCATTGTCGACTATTCCGACTCGTCAAAGACGGAAAACACGCGTTGCGCTTACCCCATCGAGTACATTCCCAACGCAAAGATTCCCTGCGTCGGCGGCCACCCCAAAAACATTATCCTCCTCACCTGCGACGCCTTTGGTGTCTTGCCCCCCGTGTCCAAGCTCACCCCCGAGCAGGCCATGTACCACTTTATCTCTGGCTACACGGCAAAGATTGCCGGCACGGAAGAAGGTGTCACGGAACCCCAAGCCACCTTTTCCACCTGCTTTGGCGCACCGTTCCTGGTGTGGCACCCCGTAAAGTACGCGACCATGTTGGCCGAAAAGATGCAACAGCACAAGGCGGACGCATGGCTCATCAACACGGGATGGAACGGCGGTCCCTACGGCGTCGGCAAGCGTGTTGCCCTAAAGTACTCTCGTGCCATTATCGACGCGATCCACAATGGCGAATTGGCCAAGGCTGAATACGAAAACTATGCCACCTTTAACCTCCCCATCCCCAAGGCCGTCACGGGTGTCCCCTCTGAGATTCTCAACCCCGCAAAGACGTGGAGCGGCACCCAAGAGTCGTATGCAACGACGCTCAACAAGCTGGCCAACTTGTTTAACGCGAATTTCAAGACGTATGCCGACAAGGCGGCTCCCGAAGTGATTGCTGCCGGTCCCCAGATATAAGCCCGTTTTTGTGTGTGTGTGTGATGCAAGACTTTTATATAATAATATAATATCCATATGATTTTGAAAAATATGAATTTTGTTATACACATGTTTGACGGTGAATTGTCCACGTGATACAACCGATGACGTTCGCGTTTCTTGCTGTGTAGAGGTTTTCGGGGCTCACTCACAAGCAAAAGACAATGACGGACGTTGTGGTGCGGGTCGAGCCCTTTTGCAGCATCCCACCCCACGTCTACGATCTCTTGCGCAGCCCTCCATCCACTCGCCCGTCTGGCTCCTCGGATTCTGATTCCGGCTGGGATGTCGATTGGGGGGACACGGACGAGACGTCGCCGCCGTGTCTCTCGACTGTTTCTTTTGACGGCCACACACTCGTCCTCTCGTCTCCCACCACTCTATTATTTTGTCATGCATCCAACGGCACCTACACACCAACTGCAACCCTCCCCCTCACAGAACCCATAACAAGTCTCCTCCTCTTACCAATCTACATGCCAACATTCAACAAGACCACCGAAACCATTTCCAGCGTCCTCGTCACAGGCTCCCAGTCAGGGGTTCTCGGCTTCTATTCCAACGAGGGCACACTTTTATTTACATTTACCCTCCCGCACCCCATCACATGCCTAAAATTCCACACCACCCTCCAAATCATTTCCCCTACTCGACACACAACACTCGATGCCCCATCCCTATGGATCTCCCTCCGGATCGCATTAGAACACTCTAAAACCTCAATGGCCATGGACCCAACACTCTTGTCCACCACACACTCTTTACCACCCTATTCAGACGCATATGCATTGGGAAATGGACCATGGGATCTCATTCCAACGACATTTTACCCACTCTCTGCAACATTTTCGATCAACATTGTATCAAATCGGATGATTACTGTTGGAAAAGAACTAACGTTTTATGCGACGGTGGAATCCAAGTCTTTGTTATTTAAAAAAGAGTCTGTGTCGCCAGTGTTGGTTTGGAAGGACCCTCCTAGAAGGTTTTTATCGATTACGCCGGCCAAGAACAATATGTACGCTTTATTAACGGATACATTGGGCAGAGTTTTGTTATTGGATACGCGGTATGGGATTATGAAACGAATGTGGAAAGGCATGCGGAATGCTCAGTGTGCGTTTTTGGAGGGGGATTGGATTGTCACGAGTGCTAGAGGTGTTGTTGAGGTTTGGGAGGTTTTTGGAAAAAGGGTTTGGTATGGTGCGTTAAAAGGAGTTGTTGTTGGGTGTGGGGGTGTATTGGGGGGGTGAATTTTGTGGTGCTCGGGATGGGAAAAGTAAAGGGATGATGATGGAGGATGCGGTTCATGTGATTGGGATGCAGCATGTATATAAAATCTCTAGTACCAAAGATTTGAAATTGCAAAAAAAAGAAAAAACATTATTTTATACATATATTTCATACAAATGCACATACAAAAAAATACGCAAACATTCATCAAAAACTATCTCGACTCTTTTTACCCAAAAACCCACCAAAAACCTTTCGTACACTCCCAGGACTTTCACCTCCGCCAACAGAAACAACACTATTCCTCCCACTCCCAACACTCCCATTCGTCCCATTCAAATCCCGATGATACTCTGCCAAAAGCCTAACCTCCCCCGTCCCACCCAACGACAACGGAACCCATTTCTCAACTCTCATCATATCCTCTTCTTGTTCCCCTTGATTCGAAAACCACTCTTCAAAATCCACATCCACTTCCCCCAACTCGACATTCCTCGCAACAGTATTATGATCCCTCACTAGCACTCGTACACGCCAAGGCGGACCCACCACCACACATTTCTCATTCCACACTGGGTTCAAACTCTTTTTAATCACATGCGTCTTGTAGAGGGTTTTTAATCTTCCATGATGGGTTTGAACTACCTTGATGAATGGGTCCGATGTGCCGTTCGTATCGACTGGTTTCAGGTTACGGGCTTCAAGAATATGGAGGGTGGTTGTCCCCTTTGGAAGCGTCACTGGCGATGAAGGCGGTACGGCGACATTCGCTGCATCATCATCAACAGTAAGTATACCCCGCTCAGAAGCAATAGCTTCAACCCCCTTTCCTCTGGTCTTTTTCTTATCACTACCAGAATCGATCATGGATTTACCCAATCCAACAGTCGTACCCGCCAATCGGGATATGACTGCTTTCCCCATTTTCGTCATCCCACTCTCTTCACCCTCCAATCGCGCACTCGCATCATGTACATCCGATTTCGAAGAAACGTTCACAGTACTATTCCGACGAGACTCGATCGCTTGGGGATCGAAAAACATGCGGAGTTTGATGGTTCCACCTGCGGCGCCTTCGAGGGGGTACTCATGCGTTACGACGGTATTAGGGACAAGACGACCTAGTTGGACACGGACCGTGCCCAGTGTCACGTCTTTGGCGAAATTATTCCAGTCTTTGACGCGGAATTCAAGAGTGGAGCGGAGACGGGATGTAACGGGACAGGAAAAGGTTTCGTTCCATACTGGGTCCAGGGTTTTTTTGATGACGCGGGTTTTGTGGATTTTGGAGCCGTTGAGGTAGATTTGGACGTAAGGGTCACTAGCTCCTACCAAAAACAAAAGTAAACAAAACAAATGCAAAATACCCACCAACAAAAAAAAAAAAAAAACTTACCCCCACTATCAACAGCCTCCAACCCTCTAGCTTCCAACACATCACAATGCACCATCCCCATCCCACCCCCCGTCTCACTCGAATCCCCTTCAACAGCAACAGGCGCAAACCCAACACTAACTCGCACTTTACCAACAACACCCACAACAACTCCATCTTGGTCTGCCTCACCATCCAATAACGGGACCCAATAATTGGACCGACCCATCAGGGTCGTGATATCTCCCCGCCAGTGCCCGATAATGGGATCGGAAATGGAGCGGTCCTTTTCGGGTTGATGTCGGATTTGAATTGTGTAGGTATGGGTACTGACGTGAGATATATACTTGTCCAATGCTACGTAAAACCGATGAATGTGGGATACCTTTCGTAAAAAACAATACAAAAAAAAAAAAACATACATTCATCCCATTTAGCAGATCCAGTCTGCTTTTTGGTCCGCGTACTCCAAATAGGTCCATCATCATCCATCACAATCTCTGCATAAATGTTTCCAGTCCGACATAATTCCTGGACTTCATGAACGCGTATCATGACAATTCCCGAATCTATCAAAAAACGAAAAAAATACATGAAAAACCAACTCTTGAATACCAAAATTTCATAATATCACGTACGGAAATCACGTAAAATGCCTTCAATCCTCTCCCTCTTGCTCTTCATCACCCGTTCCTGTTCCTCTTGAGCCTCTTCTACTGCCTGTCGCTTTTCAATTTGCAACGCCTCCTTTTGGCGTTTAATTTCCTCATCATCTTCTTCTTCTTCCTCAGCCACAGACGGTAACGATCCATACTGTGTCCCGATACTCTCCCTAGACCGTTTATGATCCACAATGCGTTCCGGATGAATAATCTTGTCACATACAACAGGGAAATAATCAAGGACGAAATGGATAAAGCCTTTTTGTCGGGGTTCTTTTGTACCGGTGATAACGGATGGGCGAGCACTGGAGGCTGCTGAGGTGGCTAGACTGGCGATTCCGTCCAGTGAGAGAACGTTAGGGATGCCATTGACGCTTGAACGGTGGTGGTCCAGCTGCTCGTTAGAACCGAGAGGCGTTGCTTCGGCTGTTTCGGCAAAGAGGTCTTCAGCCTTGTTTTTGTAAATATAAACGGGTGCCCACCTTTAAAAAAAAATTATTAAACAAAGGCCCCACACATCAAAAAAGAAGGTATCATCGGATCAAAGTGACTTACACATCAGCCGTCAACCCCGTTCGCACAATCTTTAATCCATCCCTCTCCAACCTCGCCAAAACCTCTGGCCTCATTCCAACCGCTTCATCCACCATGGACTCTTCCCCACTCCCCACATCCTCATCATCCTCCTTGACAAGATCCCCAACCAAAAACTCGACCCTCCCCAACGTTCGATCCTTTTTGAAATCATTCCAATCCCATAATGAAAGCGCCAATTGCTCTTTTTTGCTGTAACACACTGCGTAAAAGATTTCGTCCCATTTTGGATCCAGGGTGTTGTTTTTGACGTGTGTTGCGCCAAAGGCTCGGCCAGCTAAATTGAGTTTGGTATACGGGTCGGATTTACCTTTTTTGTGTAGCGGACATGCATTAGATCAAGCCCCAATACATGCCAAGGCATGCACAATCAAAAGAAAAAGAAGACATTACCCATCATCTCAACATTCATCAACCCCTTGGCCTCAACAACATGCAATCGAAGCAATCCAGCCGGATTTCGCCGCTTAATCTTGCTTCGGTCCAGATTTCCACCTTCCAAATCGACGGGTGTGAATTTAAACGTGACACGTAATCGGCCAGAAGCCTCCTTTCCGCCATAAAGCTTGAACCAATCGTCCGTTGACTCCTACATATCAAAAAAAAAAAGAGGGACAACAGTCATCATTTGCATCACCGATCGACACAGAACGATTATCCCCTACCTTTCCAATAAACTCTCTCGGCAAAATATCACACCCGCCCAACGCCTGTCCCCCCTGCCACACCCTAAACTTAAACTTTGCCATATCCAACTCATTCACAAACACCGTAAACGGCGCATCCCACACTGGATTATTACTCTTCTTCTTGACAGGCGTCCGGAACAACTCCATCCCATCTTGCTCAATAGAACAATCCGTATTCGCATTCTTGGAACATGGTAATTCTTTTGCTTGATGAACAGTGATTTGAAGAATTCCTGAATAGATGTCAGGTGCTGGTGTACCAGCCAGAGGTTCTTGAACCGGGAAATACGCCATATTGAATCGTACATCCCCTTTTTGTGAGTCGCCAATCGAAAGTTTTTTCCAAATGTCCCCGACAGTATCATCACCAAACGGGGATCCCCATTCATGTAAAAGCCGGTCGCGCTCCTCTCGGGATAACCCATCCGCTTCCTGTCCTCTATCGTCTTCAAGGAGTTTGACCCATCGTGCTAAACGTAACGAGGCCGTGACACCCATGGACTTGTCCTTTTGAAGGTTGTTCCAGTCCATCACTTCGATTTTGAGTTCATCAGAGTTACTGCTCGTTTGCGTTAAATCCGATTTCGTAATGACGATATGAAATGTTTCGTCCCAAACTGGATCAAGCCTATGTAACAAATATCAAGACTCTAAAACAAGCACCAATCCAACAACGCTTCGCAACGTACGTATTATCAATGGTTTTGGTCCGCGCAACTTGCTTGCCACCCACAAACAAGAGTGCATATGGATCACTCTTTCCGGCAAGTTCCATATTCTTCAACCCCTTTGCCTCATACAATGAGACGCGGAGCACTCCAACAGGTTTATCTGTCATTGACAACATGTGAGCGCACATCACGTCATGATCTACCTATTCACACGCACCAGCTTCCGAAGTCCCTCCCAATAGTTGCTCCAGATCAATCGTAATCTTGTTCGGATCAACCACAAACATTTTCGTGTAATAATTAATGGTATCAGTCAGGAACGAGCTCAATCCAGGGGTCTGTAACAGTCACACGTCAAGAGCCGTCACAACATGAATAAAACGATTATAATCATGTCTCTTACATCCATCAAATCCATTCCTTTCAATGGCCGAACAATAAAATCAATATGAGGCATCTCCAAGAACCCAAAATCGACGGTCTTGATATGCGGATAGGAAGTCATAAACTTTAACTGGATCCGAGCCTTTGAAAAAAAAAAAAGCGGTTCAACAAAAATCTTGTGCAAGGCATCTCACACAAGTATACTAAACCGAGAGGCGTACCTTGCCCTTAAACTCCATCTCTGTCACCAACACAGGTAGGGGAATGGAAGCAACGCCCTTCCCAACACGAGCTGTCAACTCAATCTTTGAATTCCGAACGTCCCGATGCTCCCTCTGCTTTTTGGATATTTCGTCATCATCAATCGGGCTAAAACTAAGATCCCAATCCATCATCTGCAAAACGCAATTCGGTGGGTTACAATTGGGGGTTTGGATACGATGATAACGATACATACGAGAATATCATCGCTGGTACTTGGGTAACATCGGATACCCTCCACACGAGGTGCTTCTGATCCCAACGTAAATGTCGTCAATCGCAGATCGTCCTATAGAGTATGTTCATGTAGCACATCAAAACACGGTTACATGTCGTTGAACCCAATCTTTCAAGAACAGCGTGATGTACGCACCAGGAAACCGGGCTTGTTGGCTTCGAGGACGGCATCAACGGCATCCTTGATACCAGCAGAGAGACTCGGTTCAAAAATCAACCAAAACCGCGTCAGAAATAGGTTCATCCAGTTGACTGTTTCGGTATCCGTCTCCAACTGCCCATATCGTACATTGGAATTAGCATAACGCGGGAGACCCCATTCATTTTCTGGAGACGGTTCGAATCTTACCCTCTTCATGGACATTTGCTTATTCAAATCATTCCGTAGCTTTCGGCGGAGCCGCTGCTGGTTTCGTCGAAACGCCCCTCCCACCATGATAAGAATGACAATAACCCACCCAAACCCCATCCCAATACGCGTGAAAAGCCACGTCAAAATAATCCCAGTCGTAAAATAAAAAGCAACCTTCATATTCTCCCAATATACAATCTGCTCCACTAGTGGTTTATACGCATCTAGCTGTGCCTTCATATTATCCATCGTCGTGATACCCGTTACAGCCAAACTTCGGAGAGGCGCCGGTATTTCTCCGTCATTGTCGAAAATCACGCCGGTCAATCGGGTCATGGCCTGAGCAGCCGTGATGGTGTGTTTCTGCGGTGGTCCTTGTCCAATGGGTCGTGAAATGACGTTGGCGGCGATAACAGTTTTTCCTGCAGCGCGGAAATTGTCGCTGTTGAGTCGTTTTGGTTGGGTTGGAAGGGGAACTACAAGAGTAAAAAACAATATATGGCATGAGTTAAAGATCGCGAATGCAAATGAGACAAACCCGAATAGGTACAATGCCCACATCCCCTACGCTAATAAAACCCTACCCGCTCCCTCCAAGCGCATCCCAGTATTCTATTCACCTTGTGGAATGGATGCAGACGTTGCCTTTGAGACAACCGACGACGGTCTCCCCTTCATAACGACCTCAGTCAACTCATCCAACGTCGTATGAGGAACCTTGTCTGCCGGAACCACATTTTCCGTTGGAGGAGATGCCGCGGCCATGGATGCTTGTTCTTCTTTGGAAGGGTCGACTTTCTGCAGATGCTGGTCATCGGGAGATGACTCTGAAAGGTCGCGTTTCATTGCGGATTGGCTTGCCAAATGGGCAGCCATAACCGACGAATTGTCCATGCTTGGGTATTGTTGAAAATGAATGCAAAATGCGAGCTCCAGATGCCTGCTAACTAGCCCTGGGTATACATATAAAAAAAGAAAAAGGCCTTATCTCTCAAGTACCTTTGACAAGATGCTGCTACACCACATACCTCTGCAAAAATCGAGTCAAGCGTCATCATTTGACACAGCCAAAAATCTTTTCGTTTGTTTGTTGAGCTCCGCAGATCGACTTGCGCTGCCGACGCTTTAAAAAAAGTTTATTGAAATTTAGACTTTTTTTGTTTATTTTGCACGAGGGCTTTTAGTGTTCGAAAGCAGTGACGAAGAAATGCTATGGTTTCTTCTTGTCAGAGCGAGCTAGGGTATTGTTGCCATCCTGCACATGAACAGACGACAAGCCGATTTGATGTTTTTCAATTGCGAGCAGGTGAATTGAAAAAAACCAAAAAGACAAAAAGGTTATTGTTAAAAATGGGCCAGGATATCGGCTCTTGAGACTTGCAATCATGTAATTGGGTAGGGAGAAACCGTTGCGCGTCTGCACACATGAAAGGTTTCGGGGACACTTAGGATTGACACCGGCCTGACGGCACCCTCCAACCACACAGACCCAGAGACTATAGATTGGAGCATTCTATATGGCAGATGCAATAAACTGGTGGCAGAGAGTACGAGCAGATGCAGTTATACACCTCAACGTTAACCGCCGCAATGGTACGGAACACAGAATGCCCAACGACGGAATACAGTAACAATTATAAAGACAGCGACTTCCTGCACAGAGTGAGAACAGATGCCGGACTCCTCTGCAAGTAATAATGCTGATGCAATATGGAGATACCATCATCAGGCTTACTCCACAAGACCATTGTGTGCATGCTTATCATAACAGCACGAGGGATGACTCGGGTGCATTATTTCCAACTCGTTGGACAGTCCTTTTCCAGAGACTCGCCCTCAAATGTGCTCAACGGGGGTCTTATCTCAGGCTAGCATAGGCGCTCCAATATACCGCTCAAAGTGCCCTGAAACCAGTCCCAAAAAAAAATGCCAAGACGCTTGGACATGCAATGACCCAAGTGACAGTCTTCAGTGACGTTTTGACAACAGAGCTCCCAGTCATTATTTTGAAGCCATTGACCAGTATTATGCAACAAAATGCACACAAGTCTGTTGCAAGCCGTCAAAGGCCAAACCCCGGCGCGTCGCTCAACGCGTCACGTAATCTCGATCAAAAATCCTGCCCCGTTCGTCAACTTGACAGTCCAAGTTTCGTTGTTTTTGAAAGCAACAAGGTTCCGCTTTCAAATCAACATTTTCCTCCAGCTCATCACAGAGAAGGAGGTTCCGCGGATCTATGTAAACTGGGAGACTGATAGTGCAACCCAGGCAGCATGCCGAGTGTGAAACCCTACCCATCCCTGCAGGACATGCCGCAATGTGCAAGTCCTGGCCCAATGACTTGCGGGGCGGGCATGAGCCTAAATTAAAAAAGTAGATTCCTTTTGACAATTATTCAGGACAGTGTTGCCAACCCTTAGACATGCTGTAGGTCCTTTAATATTAAGGTGAAAGGGACAGCGCATCGTAACCGATCTGCCCGCATGCACCCCAAGCACTTTATGGAGGTATCTGATGCCCTGATGCAATGGGCTTGGTCGGGTAACCACATGTGACAAGTTCGTCGTGGAGAGTAATGCTTCAGGTGGGGGAGTAATTCCCGACCGTCACTCAGTTTGCACTATCAGGCGCGGGTATTCAAAGTCCGCCTCACCTGAACAAAAAAAAAGACGGCATGGAAAGCCCCTCACTTTGACAAAAAGACCTCAAATGTAGCGAGACTGACGTGTTGGTTTGAAAAAGGTGAGTTGCCTGAATGCCAATCTCCATCATGGAGTAGGGTGTGATCTAATCCAGCGCCCGGGAAATGTGCTTGGAGAGGGTGCGGAGAACATATAGGTCAGAAGACGCTTGCTCCTGCTATCCCTTGTCCCGTCTTTATCTTGGTCTTCCTCTCCGACTCTCTCCGAAACCTTCAATTTAAAGCAGAGCAGCTGTTGCTTTCGCCCTCCATCGTCGAACATTCCTCTTTGAAAAAACGACAAGGAATAACTGCTTTGTTTTTTCTTCTCAACTTCTTTTAACCTCTAGCCATTCTCCAATTCCTACGCTCGCTTCATTCTAAAAGTAAGTTGATCATTTACGGGGGTCCAACCCAAACGCGTGTCTTTTTCTTTGTGTGTCGGGGAGTCCGGACCCCTTGGGTTTGCCGTGACGGGGGGCGAGTTGCAAACAACAACCACAGGTTGGGCTCTTGCAAAAACACACAAGTTCAAGGGAAGCTCATGCAAAAAGAAACGGAACATCCAGCTTGAACAGTTGGCAAGTGGATGTTCAAGAAGAAGAAGAAGAAAATAAAACACGCAGCTAGATAAACTGACGCAATTACCTTTGTCTTCCCGCCACCCACCTCTCAAGGTCCTTTTTTTTCCTGGGTTTTCTTTCAACTTTCTCTGCTGGACTCCGCGATCATTTCGTGCATTTCGACAGACCATCTCTCCCGACATTTGTTTTTTCCCTCCAAGCATGAGCATCCCGCTCATATCTGCCGCAGTGGAAAGACGTCAAGAGGAGGTACCTGCATGGACCTCGGAAACCGATCGCGACGTCGAACAGCAGATCTCAATGTTTTCGTCCTCAGAGTCCCAAACTTCCGTTCCTGTGGTCGCTGGCTCTCAAGGATTCTCTCCATCCACTCCAATCAAGCAAGAACAGAGTTCCGACGATCAGTTGCAGTTTGTTGAAAGCCTACCTTCCAGCTACAATCCGTTTGACTTTACTCGTGCAACGGCAGCATCCAGCCAAAGTACCTCTTCAGCAACGGGCTCCTTCGCATCGACATCCGTACAGCAAATGGCAGTGTCTTCTTCGACGGATGCCTTGGAAGAAAGTCTTTTCGGAGCAACAGCAGCAGCCGCCGCCGCGCGTCGACGAAGGTCATCCATCAAGCTTCTGCCTTTTGATCACTCGCAAGGATTCAGCTCGCTTCGGCTAACCCCCGGACTTCCACACATGTGGCCAGCATCAGATCCGCCTAGTCCTGAAGACTCCCACATTCACAGCATTGCCAACAGCTCATCAACGCCAACGGCAATTCTCTCTTCGCCAAGCGCCCCGGCAAGACGAGAGCATCTCATCCAATCGCCGCCGTTTCCCCACGGGCATACTGGAAAACTACCTCATGGCGTAATCAGGAGACACACGGAGCCATTGCGCATTGTAACGCCGCCTACCCACACAGGCCCTGGTAGTGTTGATCCTATGCTAATCAATCAACCACGATCGGCCCCAATCGGTAATCTGCCCATCGTCCGGAAGCGCACCCGAGGACAATCGTTTGATATCCCTTACGAATGGAATCCGCGACGTCGACGCTCCGTTGATGCCTTTTTGGACGGGTATTCGTTGTACTCGGCCATGTCCCCGTCGGATCCTCTTCAGTCTCTTCACATGCACACACCTGCGTCCATGAACGTGACGAATGTTGTGGATGTTACTCCCGAAGATTTCGACCATGACTTTGTTGTACCCTCAGATGCAGCAAATATGAAATTTCAAGAAGCCGTCTCCATCAAGGGTGAGGAACATCTTGTGCCTGATTACAATGGCAGACTAACAATGGGCCGACTGTGGTGCGTGGCTTTTTGTTGATTATTTAATCCCTGAAACGCGTTGATCGGTTAACTTTATTATAATCACAGCCAACTAGTTGGCGAATATCTACAGGATCCATCCCATGAATGCACGATCATTGTTACGCAATCAACAGCAGCACAAAAATCCTATGGTGAGGAAAAGAGGTAACTATCACTTGATATGTCAAGATTTGCCTAAATTTATGTTTTACATGGGTAATAACTGATGATATGGTGTCGTTTCTGCAATTAAAGGTTCTTTACGTCTCCAATATGCCGATTGTTAGGAGGCGGTTGGGATTTACCAAAACTCCAAGAGGCATACGCAAATTCACCTGATGCTTTAGCGGACTCTAAAGTTGGCGGAAAGAATCTACAGATTCGCATTTCGACAATGCCAAATTTCCATACAGAACAGCAGCCCTCACGAGTTCCAAGCAAAACGGAAAATTCATGTACCACGAGGGCTACACCCTCCGACTCTGAATACGAGGACGATGAAGTCCATCTTCCGGGTGCACTGGACAAAGCTCAAGGAATTTTGGGAAATGTAAAGTACATGCAGGAGCGTATCGATCTTTTGAGCCGCACCAGTTCGCTACGGGATAGACCGGATGCTCGATCGCACAAGACAGTTGCTGCGGCAGTTTTCCAGAAACTGCATGTAGGTGTTAACGAATCTAGGAAGCGAGTTCCTCTCTTTTTCCAGGCATGTGTTACAGCAATGTGAGATTTGATTTGGAGAATTGCAGGCTTATCGACGGTACAATTTTAGATTCAATGTCCTGCAGGTCCTCTACTGTACGAATCAAAACCATTTACAAAAATATCAAAACCTTCAAAGAAGAGACAAACTTCTAAAGCTCAGTGTAAGCATCAGACATCGTCTCTCGTTCTGATTGCTTGTCACTCAAACCACCTTTATGGACAGTACTCATCATGTCGGGATCGACCATCGCCATATTCAATCGCACGAAATCCCAAACGGGCAACACACGCTTCTTGGGCGTGGACGCTGACAATATGACTCTGGTACCATGCAGCGGCATGTGGGATAATTGGGTTATCTTTGCTGTTGACGATCCGCGCTTTGATCCATATGTTGCACCAGGCTTGTCACCGATGCTCTCAGCTCCTAATCGAGGTACTTATCTTGACATTGTCGCTATTGGGGAACCGCAAGAAGATCTGGTGTGGACTCGCCCCAAATTTCGAAGTGGCGGCGACTTGAATGACGGATCGGTGGATATGGATGCCTACGATGATGGTCTTGGGTTCGGGTCGCAAGTATTCATGACGCCTCCAACGACTCCGTTAAATGTCAAGCGTAAACTAGCACGGAATGCGCCCGTGGCATCGGGACAGGATGAAAAGCCACCCTGTGCCCGCCCTATTCATTATGGCGATACGGTTGTCTTGCAGAATTGTTCGACGGGACTGGTTACTCGACCGTTGATTGTCCGAAAGATTGAGAACAGGACAAATGCTGTTATTGATGCCAAAGTGGATGCAGTGGAGAAGCAAGGTATACATCCCTCCAAATTGCTCTTGTTTGAATCTTCTCTCAACATTCTCCAACTTAACACTGCAGGAACCGCGCCTCAGGAACCATCTCGACGGGGCGACCCCATCTCCCCACTTCACAAAGTTGCCTTTCAACTTGCAGGACACGCGGGCCAATTCCTCTCTCTCTCCTCTCGATACGGTCACATTGTAGTAGACCTTCATCACACGAAACTCAGTTCAGGGAGCTCTGCTAGGAGGAACCGTGGACGCCGTCACGGAAACGATAATGAAAGTGATCCTGATCGGGAGCATGTGCAAAATGCCGCCGCACTAAGGAGGAGAAAGGGAAAGGGAAAGGGGCAGTCTCCGGTGCCTTCGAACGATGTCGGCGAGACCTGCATTTGGACTGTTGTGGGAACGGGTGGGTAAACACATATCCTGACACAAAACTATCCACCCGAGTCTTAATGGAATGTAAATCTGTATAGATCAAATCGAATGCACATTCCACATCCCAACACTAACACCCAGCGAAATCGACACACTCGATCCTGCATCGCTTCCCTGCTCCGACTGTGACAGCGATATCTTTAGCTCCTCTGACGATGAGGACCCCCATGGATCACCGACACCCCGGGAACCCCTTCGGACTCGCTTCCCTCTCATGCGAGTCCACCCCATACCAACCACAAAGTTCATCACGAGGTTCAACCCCGGTGTCATCGCCTTGACTGGCACAAACTTTCAACCAAACCTATGGGTCTTTTTCGGTACCCATCCGTCAACCAAAACTCAGGTTGAAACCAGTGAACTGCTACTCGCTAGTCTTCCCGGGCATAACGCAGACGTGGATGTTTCGCTTGACGGTTGCGTTAAGCAAGAGCAAAAGAGTATCTACTTTTCGTCAACGACAGAAACATCTTACCCCACCTCCCCTGTCTCCACGCCCCAAATTGTCCCCATTTTACTCGTCCGAGATGATGGGGTCATCTATCGAACAGGTCATTATTATCGGCTGGAATGACGGTTACTAACGCAAGAATCATCAAAAGTCAGTTTGCTATCTACAAGTCGTCATAGTGGGTTCGACAGTAGTAGTTTGGTTTTTTTGTTTTTGTAGAGGTGTAAGTCTTTCAAGTTTGTATTGATTTAGCGTGTACGTACAATGTATCCTGTATCATGATGTGGTGATTTGCCGTGCCATGTCAATGTGATCTGGCATGTTAGAGGGCATGTACGAGAGGGATGGGTTGAGGCTTCTTGTATAAAATTACGTGGTTTGCATTCCAAGATGCAATGTTAGTGGGTCGGTTTTGACGCAGCATTCTCAATACGGCTCGACATCTTCCAATTCAACAGTTATAAGGTTATATACAAAGGCAATCTGTTCCCAGCGAGTGTCTATGTATTTACATCCCACTAAATGTCTACTGCTTTCAAGAAAGCCCTGTCTCACTCCCCTTCTTCAACTTGCTATAAATGACCACAAGGTTATGGTCGCACCCCGAATCGATGCGGCACTTTACTCTCGTTTATAAATATTCTCCCTTCATCTGATCTAGCATTTAAATGGAGGGCTGCATTGAGTGAATTCTTGGGTGTTTTCCGACGCCTTCGACAGCAGCAAAACAGGTTAGCCGCCACGTCTGATCAAACATAATGTCTGAATCCACCTACCCCATTGGATATAATCCTCTCCTTTCAATCTCGTGAAATATCTCATCACAGGTTCGTAAACCCCCCAAATGCTTCAACGCAATCAGTGCGGCATCTGCCCAACTTTGATTTGTCGCGGATCGAGAGTCCCGTTCAGCAATTCCTGGTCTAAAATCCCATACTTTTACCAAGCCGTCGTCTGAACCGCTGACGATCATTTCCGCCGTGCAGTCTACGGCATTGACGTCGCCGACGTGTGATTTGAGCGTATGTAAGAGTTTCAAGGTTGTGAGGGACCAGATACGGACGGTCTATGAACGCAATGTTATATGGCTTGGGTTGTCCAGTGAAAAATATGCGCTGACACTCACGTTATCGTATGCACCCGTAATGAGCCTTCCGCAACTGGTTTGCAGGCATCTAACACCATCTGTGTGTCCTTTGAGTTCGACGATACTGCAATCTTTCCTTTTAATGGCACCATGACTCCGCTTGGCTACAGCTGAAATCTCCTCGTTGGGTTTCCAGACTAATATAATTCCTTTCTCGTCCCCGGTTACAATCCGTCCATTGTCCAGCATCCTAAGGCTAGTGATCGTACTCTTGTGTAGCTCAAGCCGAGCGACCAGTGAGTAGCTATTTCTGGACCACACGTATATGTCATCTTCCACTGCCGCATAGATGTAGGAAGAGTTAAAGTCCACACTATGGACACTGTTTCGTGTCGAGTCTGGGATTGAGAGGTTGCGAACAGGCTGCAATGTTTGTCGATTCCATAGTTGGATACCGCTGGTCATGGTACCCACGGCAAGAAGCGATGCAGATGTCCGGATGCAGATGACGGATGACGGGTGCCGAAGTATCATGTTCGGCCGGGTAGTCATATGGAGTCCTCCGAGATGGTATTCCCATATTTTGACGATCCCTTTCAGCAACCGTCAGTGTTGGTCCACGGCTGAAGGGGAACTGCAGCAACGGCGCTCACCATCCCAGCTACCACTGATTACATTGCCATCAGATATCGCCAAGCAACTGACAGCCATTCTATGCGCCCCTTGTTGCCTCGTAACTGTACTATTGAAATCCATTATTTGGAGCTTCCCGGTCCGATCTCCACTTATTATGCGTCCGTTGTTTTCATCGATGGCAACGGCCAGCACAACATCCGCATGCCCTGTAAAAGAGTCTTCGCTCCACTGTCCAGTGTCCCACCGTGTATCCAGCTCTAATCGTTGTCTCACCCATTTCTTCCATTCCCAACCGTGGCTTGTTTCGCTCGTCAGGTGCATCTCTCGTCGTAATGGATGACTTTCAGGCGATTTTGCCATCACGTGCGTGGAGTCAATGTAGTTGTGCTTAATGGCGAGTTTGTACCATATGCTTTCGTCTTGGCAGAGTTGATACCACAGAGAGCATGTCTGGGAAGCCTGTATGAGGGAATATCCTGCGAGGTGGGTCAAGATGTTCAGAGCTACTTCTGGAGGGAGTGTGAGAATGCTACCCGTGGGCAGTTTGGCAGAGGTTCTAGACGATTGTCGGACTGGAGAGGGTGGTTTCATTGGTGAGCGTGGCATATCCTCCTATGTCAGGAGCCTATGACGAGGAAGACGAGTGGTTGGAGCATGTGTCGGCAACCAGCGGGAAGTCTGTAAACCAAGACGCGTTTCTCCTCGTTGATCAAGCAGTCTTTCGCTCTTCGACAAGCGCATTAGAAACAGCGCAATGTCTTCGACCATACAACACTCAGCGAGGGTCTATTTATTGTAATATCTATTTCAATTATTTCCAGTACGCTCCGAACGTCAATCAGCATCGACAATGACGGTATTTCCAAAGCAAAACAAACGAACATCAACACCTGTAAGAACAGATCAACTCCATCTGAGCAAGCTCTTTGCGGCAGACTTAAATCTGCTATCAAGAAGAATAAACAAGAACGGCGTTGCGGCCTGTAAGAAGAGGAACCTCGTCATGAGTTTCCAGATTACACGTATTAAGGGATTAGAACGGAGAGTCATACCGCATTGACAGGGAACCCAACGGCCGCCAACATATCCGGCACTTGAGAGGACATGCGATTCGTCACCGTCTCTGGGATCAAAATTAGGAACACCCAGAGTCCCCAAGTGAGTGCAAAGGTGGTCACGAGAATGGCGAATTTACGAATCAGCGCTGCATAGATGCTTGAAGGTTAGATTGTGTACCGTATGAACCAACTGAGTGACTCTGCGAGTACCTCTTTCCTCGGGGCCCGCACTCCGGTTCAAAGTTGACTTGGACATAACAAGTGCCTCTTCGGTGCCTGCTTTCAGTAGTAAATCTTTTGGCAACGGTCCCCCAGCTGTGTTGCTGCCAACAGCGTCCGCGGTGCCAGCACTTGTTGCAGAATCCATGATATCGCTCTTCAGCGTTGATCGTGCCCCGGTGCTGGAGAGGTGCGTCTTCATATCTCTCAGCCCAGCAACGCTTTGGCGGAATTTGCGAAATATGGACAGGTAGCAGAAACTCATGATGAGGACAAAAGACACGTAACATACGATGGTGAAATATCCCATCGCCTTTTGGCCCCACTTGGGTGCCATCCAATCGGGGTCGCAATACGTATGACTGGCGGCTAGGATGGGTCTGTTGCCCGATGCGAGCACGTTGAGGATTGTAAATACTTGAAATAACGTCGCTCATGAGATGTGTATGTGACAGGCTATAAACTGCGTGCTAGTGTCTGTACATACCAATTGCAACAATCCAGCTGTTTATGATCATTATATACGTGTCCGCTGGTTTTGACGAGCGCCTACAAGGAAATGGAACCCCATAAGTTTGTTTTTAAGACTCGGGGCGACCGACAAATCTCAGAACTTACTCTTTGACAATACTCATCCATCTATCTAATGAAACGAGCATCAGCGTCTGCATCGAGACAGCTTGGCAGATGTTGTTCATCATGGAGTTGGCTTGGCAACTCCACACTCCGCTTGCCCAAGCACCATGATATACTATGATATCTCTCTGTCAGGAGGCTTTTCACATCCAAAGCGGTATTTGAGTACATGTATCTCACCATTCCAACTCTTGAGGATGACTTGAAAAATTGCCCAAGCCAAGTCAAAAAAGGATATATTCAAGATCTGTGTGCTGACGTTGAGGACAAAGAGCTGGAAATCGCTATTCCAAAGATTTTACCATGCTGTACTTACCAACAAACTCTTGATGCTAGTACGCAGAGTTCGATCATGATACCATACACACCATAAAAATACATTCCCGACGACGCAGACTGCGTTGATTAACAGTACAACCACGTTTACAGCTCGTTCGGCCGGGGTATTGGGGTACCATTCGCCAATGTTAGCAGTATAGCTGGTCTCAGCGGTCATGTCAGCGATGAGCGCAAGCTGGAAATGGACCAACTGCGTTTTTAGTGAAGGTTAATGTGATGTTGTGTCTACGGCGTACGACGGTAGCACGGTACAGTACCCAGAAATAGGCTCAACGGTTAAAATAAACCTTTACATCGGTGATCCAAATGTCCAACCGCATATTAAATCTAGTGGGACACTTTGTGTAGTTTGTTGGCAACAGACATAGCTTTAACAATGGGACACAAATCCTCCCTGTACCTATTTCGAGTATCGTTTAGCGCTAAATGTCCTTACGTAAGCGATATATGTTTCCCTTGGCGTCGTTCCAGCTTGTTTGTTTTTATTTTTGGTTATGAATGATACGTTGAGCGGGAATATTCATATCACTATCCGCATTTCAATGTCACATGGTGGGAGAAACAAGGAGGCATTTGGAAAAACAAGCGGTGCGGCGTCATCCTATGGGACAAACTAGATTCGACAAACCAATATAAGCAACACAGCTTTTGTGCAAGCGGGATGCTTGTTCTACATTGCTTGCTGGCATATCCGACTGTTCTAAACTAGTCGACAATTCACACCAAACCTTTGCGGCGTGTTTCTTACAGCTAATATGGCAAGTAACAGATGTTCTTTTATTTCCATACGATAATGAAAACATTTGCTGACGAACAACCCTGCCGTTCTCAGCTACATGGTCCTAACTAATCAACGTTTATGGATCCTCCTAGACTTCCACCTGGGCGACCAGTACTATTACCGCTGGTCGAAGGGGTTTTTACGGTAGTCTTGGCTGCAAATCCGCCTCTCTTCACCCACATGACATCCAATATAATCACATTCACAACACACCCAAGCATGACCAGCATGAAAAGAACTACCCAAACGCGGAATCCGCGGCGTATTCGTTCCAATTCGGCAGCATTTGGCGTGGGGCTGGTAGAGGGATGGGGCTCGGGATAATGCGATGAGGTTCCTCCTGTCCCCATGGCAGATCCGCCTTTTGTGGGTCGGCTGGCCTTTGGCGATACAACTTCGCGGGTATCCGTGCCCGATGAACGTTGGCGCGGGCCGAGGATTTTAATGATGAGGCGAGGGATCCAGAGAAGCATGGTGACGCTTCGCTCCAACGTTGGTTGACGGTATATATGTGTGTAGTGGGCACCGTTAGTAGTTCACAACGGTGAGTATGTGAGCATGAATCCCAGCACATGGCCGCATATTGGCGTATCCATTCGGAGCTATGAACAGGCTCATAACTTTTTCTCCGCTAGATAATGCATTCTGAAAGAAAACTTGGTGATTCACCACCGCTTCAAAACTGCTATTATTCGCGATTTCCCAAAATTGATCATTTATGACTAGAATATGTGACATCCCGTAAATTGAACACCACTAAAATGGGAGTGATGATTTACCTTCTGACTGTACCAAAACTTGCTTTTGTCTTGAACGGGCATACGATGTGATAGTTGGCTAGTGCTGCATTGTTATAGCTGGCTAGTGGTGCATGTACGGAGAGAAAACTTGAAGGTCCTGCTGCAAACCATACCCTCGGGTTCATTCTAGATTACTAATTCTTTAGACCTAATGGAATTCGACTCTGCAGGAAGTCTGGAGGGAACGACGGAGGAGAGGACGAGTTTGCGCAGTACCGTATCGCGTGTCTTCCCGCGCAAGATGCAGGTGGAAGCATTAAAATTAAGATTGCTGCGCACTTCTTAATGGTATCTATGTGCTCTCAATCGGGCCCCTTTGCAATTAATTTCTAGCATGTGGGTCAAGAATATTGCTAATGATGTCGAAGCGGAGTTAAAGCTTGGATTATAAAAAGAGGTCGGGTAGCGTCCTTTTCTCACTCAACTCAGTCGCGGTCGAATCAATGGTCTGTCTTAGCGCCGTTTACAGACTCAAGCAACCCTCGCAATGAACTCAATGCTGACAGCTGGCGCTGTCTCTGCCATTGCCAGGGGCCTGACCTGTAAACAACGCTTGTTGGGAAATGGCCATGGAGACTGTATCAAATCCAAGGTGTCCTGTAACTTTCGCCGTTTATAGAATCGGGCACCCACGCGATGCCTTGAACTGTTCATCTGCTGGCAGTCGCTTGGGGCCTGACCTGTAAACAACGAAAAGTTTCACGACAAGGTGCTCGTATAGACGGTTGACACTCCAACAGGTAAGTAGGCTGCCGCTTACACGTCGCTTACGAAAGCAAGTTTGATTTTTTTTGGATTTGGGCCTTGACGCGGATTGCGCTTAGTCGCGCTGACAAGATCGTGAGTGCAAGCGCTGCAAGCTTGGCCTTCCAGCAGCGTTTTTCTACCGCTTTTCTTTCCAATTTTCGGAGTGGGACCTCGAACGGTCTCTGCGGGCAGTAATAGCGGGACTGCGATGGGTACCGCCATGTTTGATACAAGCGGAGCGACGGCGAAGCCAACTGGGCCTGACTGTCCAGTAGAAAATCTTACATTCCGTTTCAACATTTTCCCTTCACTTGCACTGTTTGCTTCTTCATTTACTTCTTCAAACTGTATACAACAGCACGAGCGAGCGCTTATCACTTCCATTGTAACATCACCACTACCTGCACACCAACTTCCAATACAACACTTGCTCGATACTCTTGCTTCCCTTCTTCTTCGACCATGCCAAACTACTCACCTCGTACACCTTTTTCGGCCTTTATTATTGGACTTTGCTGCTAGGTGGATAGCAGCTCTGAAAAATGCTGAGAGGGCCGAACGAATGTATGCGGGGATCTGTGAATGTTGCCGGCCAGAAAAAAAGCCGGTAGTCTCAACAATAGCATCACCCCACTCGAGTCCGAAACATGATTTGGACGGAAACATTGTAAATAGTTATGTGGATAGAGATAGGGCATGTGAACGGATCGAAACGCTTTTGGGAGCGTTGTCTATGATCTTACCTGTAGCCCCGCAAATATTGACCTACGCAGTCCAGGGGATGACCATGGCGATGAATTTGGAGGTGTTACAGGTAGGATTCGGTACTATAGTTTTTGCTACTTCCTATGTTCGATGCTAAATACCTCGTATTTCGATCCAACAGCGCTCAGCATCACTCTCTCCTACGTCCCTTCAACGTCAAAGGCGGCTAATGCGTAGCCTCTACCGTTTGGTCCGATGGGATCCCTCAACCTTTACTCCCTTGATGTCCTGGACACCATTATATACCATTGTATTACATCACGACTCTAAAGTGCGTACATTCGCCGCCCACACTCTTGCAATTGTCCTTGGAATGTCCGATGCCGAGACGCAGGTGTTCGTAACAAGGTTATTGAAGGCAGATATTGAGCAGGATGGGGAATTGCAATTACTTCGATTGATTGAGGATGAATACGACACCATTGAGCAAGCGCATTTATTTGATGTTTCCCCTGACAATGCGTCAGGACAGTGCCTCTGGATAGGTGCCAGTGATCTGTCGTCACTAACAGTGGATTTATCTGGAATTCTACTGCCCTCTGCAAGCGCACCAGACAACAATAGAATACCTTCCCTCATCCCGACATCGACTACCAGACGCAATCTCCATAGTGTCGCATTGGCACTATCCCTCAACGTTCCCATTTTGCTCCAAGGAGCGCCAGGTGTAGGAAAAACATCATTAGTAGAGGAAGCAGCTCGTCTCCTCGGGCGACACGACACACTCCTTAAAATTCATCTCGGAGATCAAACGGATGCCAAGGTGCTCTTGGGAACATACATTTGTACGTCCACCCCAGGTTCCTTCCGCTGGCAACCTGGTGTGCTCACAACAGCCGTCACTGAAGGCCGATGGATTTTATTTGAAGATGTTGACCTGGCTCCGTTGGAAGTGGTCAGCGTACTGGTCCCCTTGTTAGAGACTGGGTGGCTGTTTGTTGCGAGCAGAGGGGAGAAAGTGAAGGCAAAGGAGGGCTTCAGAGTTTTTGGAACCAGATCTGTCGGGCCTGGCACACGAGGAATGGGTGGGCATGCTGCTGGAGAAGGCTTATGGCATCGAGTCGCTGTCGAGCCATTGAGTGAGCAGGAGATTGTCGACGTAATTAGTGAGAAGTTTCCTCGGTTAAAGGCTGCTGGTCTGCAAGAACGGATCATTAAGGCGTTCAATGTGATTGGAGACTTATTTAAGGATAAGATGGTGAGCGGGGGTCGAAGTGCGTCGTTGAGGGACTTGATCAAATGGTGCAATAGGGTGGAGGTTATGACGAAAGTGCGACTATCTGTAAGTGACCATCAGCAAGCAATGGATGTTGATGGGGAAGATTCCGATCTATCCCTGGCAGTCAGAGAAGATCTTTACCGTGAAGCAGCCGACTGCTTTACTGGTATGATTACGGAGAAAGCGGTGCGAGACAAAGTTCTTGAAGAAATTGGAAGCGTTCTCGGTGTCCCCCCACATCGCGTGCATTTTTATTCAGAGGTGCATGTTCCAACTATTCAAACCTCCGACCAAACTACTTCTGTGGGGCGTGTTACGCTTTCCAAGAATCCCCGTGATCTCCTCCAAGCAAGCACTCCACGACCGTTTGCACCTACACCATCAACGGTCCGCCTTTTGGAACGGTTAGCAGTCAGTACAGCTCAGAACGAGCCTATCCTCCTCGTGGGTGAAACTGGTACCGGAAAAACCACTGTCGTCCAACACCTGGCCCACTTGACCAATACCCCTCTCACCGTCATCAACATGTCCCAGCAGTCAGATTCTAGCGATCTTCTTGGTGGCTTCAAACCAGTTGACGTGAAAATTCTCGCGGTTCCTGTCCTGAACGAATTTGAGCGACTGTTTGCTGCAACATTTTCAGTAAAAGCTAACGTCGCCTTTCTTGAAGGTGTACGCAAGGGCTTCAAGGGCAGTAGATGGCCGATTTTCATCAAAGGTTGTCGAATGGGCGTGAAAATGGCGGAAGAGGTGTTTGCTAGAATGAAAGGAGAGATGGCGAGTGGGGCAAGAGCGGAGTCCGGTCAAGCTAACAAGAAGAAGAAAACCAAGAGGACTTATGATCCAGCGCTGGAAACCGAATGGCAATCCTTTGCGAAGAACTTGTTAACTTTTGAAAGTACCCAGCAGAAAGTTTCAGCATCACTTCTGTTCTCGTTCATTGAGGGAGCGCTGGTCCGTGCGATTAAAGAGGGGCATTGGGTGCTACTCGATGAAATAAATCTAGCCACACCCGAAACTCTCGACTGTCTCACAGGATTGTTGGCTTCTGCAACATCTAGTCTGGTACTTCTCGAACGGGGTGATACCGAGCCTGTCTTTAGACATCCAAATTTCAGGTTATTCGGTTGTATGAATCCGGCTAACGATGCCGGGAAGAAAGATTTGGCGGCCGGTCTCCGTGGGCGATTTACGGAGTTTTGGGTAGATGCACCAGATTCCACCTTTGTGGATTTGGTCGGTATCATACGCCAGTACCTTCAAGCAGTTTTACCACCGTCCACGGCCGGTGCAGACCTTTGTACCGATATTGCAACATTCTATACCAGTGTTCGCGGCTTTGCATCGCAGGGACTGATCTATGATGGCGCAGATCACCGAGTGCACTACAGTATGCGGACGCTTGCGAGAGCATTGATGTTTGCTGCTGGGACAACGGCGAAAGGTGTCTGGGGAATACGTAGAGCCACCTGGGAAGGATGCTCCATGACCTTTGGTACAGGACTTGGGGAAGTGAGTCGGGTAAAAGTGGAAACGGTTTTACGAGAGACAGTGGGCAAAGGTGTCAACCTTGGTCGAGGAATTCGGAATCCTGACCTCCATTCCGAAGTTGCGAGACATGTTAACGTGGGAAGTTACTGGCTTCCGCTTGGACCTTCACCGCCCGCCGATACACTGGCCCTGTCAGAAACGTACATCCTAACGCCAACGGTGCTCCAGAATCTGTCTTACTTGTCGCGTGCGGTCATGTCCGGAAAGTATCCTGTGCTAATACAAGGGCCCACCAGTGCCGGTAAGACCAGTATGGTCGAATATTTGGCGAAGTTGACTGGACACGTTTGTGTGCGTGTAAACAATCATGAAGGGACGGAGGTTGCAGAGTATATCGGAGGATGGGGGGAGAGCGAAGATGGGGCGGAAGCAGGTAGAGGGCGGTTAGTGTGGCAGGAGGTAAGACAATGAGGTTCTATTAATATAACTTTTTGGTTCCCAATATGCTAACGTGACATTATTAGGGAATTCTTGTCACTGCGCTCAAAAAGGGACACTGGCTCATTCTGGATGAACTCAATCTTGCACCGTCAGATGTGCTTGAATCGCTTAACCGCCTCCTCGACGACAACAGAGAACTTTTCATTCCGGAAACGCAAACCACCATTCGTCCTCACCCCTCCTTCATGCTCTTCGCCACTCAAAATCCCGCAGGAACAACTTACGGTGGTCGTAAACAACTGTCTCGAGCATTCCGAAACCGGTTTCTGGAGATCCATTTTGGAGATATACCGACAAAGGAGCTGAACACTATTTTGGAAACCCGTTGCAAGATTGCACCATCGTATGCTCAGCGCATTGTTGCGGTCTATAAATCTCTTCAAACAACCCGTGGCCGTGGCCGTGTATTCGAAGGTCGTCATGGGTTTGTGACTCTCCGTGATTTGTTTAGGTGGGCCGGACGTGAGTGCGTTGGGTATGAAGCTTTAGCTGAAGAGGGGTGGTGCCTTTTGGGTGAGCGCATGCGAAGCGAGGAGGATCGACGAATCGTCAAGGAAGTAATCGAGAAAGAGATGAAGGTCTCTATCGATATTGACGACCTCTATGAACGAGGATTTGCAGCAGTGTTGGCACAGGTGGAAGGTAACCGGACAGGTCCCGTAAGCGAGCTTGTTGATAAAATGGTGTGGACCCCTACTACGAAAAGGCTTTTCACGCTCGTTTGGAAGTGTGTGCAGTTCAATGAGCCTGTCCTACTCGTCGGTGACACTGGAGCGGGAAAGACAACAGTTTGTCAGGTCGTGGCCGCAGTGTGCGGAAAGGAACTGAAGATTGTGAATGCACACCAAGGGAGCGAGGTGGCTGACTTTGTTGGAGGAATGAGACCAGTTCGAGGTCGCGAAGAAGCGGTAAATGAGGCTTGGGAGACGTTGGGGGCCTTGCGAAATCAGTTGAGTTTTGAAGGAAGCGAGCACGAGGATTTGAAAAGAGCTATCAGCGAGACCGAGGACGTTGTAAAGGAGCGTATTTCTGTTAATGAGGACATTAAGACGTTGTTGGAGCGGGCGCGAGAGCTATTCAACAAGTCTCAGACACTATTCACATGGCGCGATGGACCTCTCACGACAGCGCTCCGCTTTGGCGCACATTTTCTTTTGGACGAAATCTCACTTGCCGACGATTCTGTTCTCGAACGCCTCAATTCAGTTCTCGAACCTTCACAATTCTTGTTGCTGGCCGAAAAAGGCCGGGCAGAGGCGTTGTATGCGGCAGAAGGCTTCCGATTTCTTGCGACAATGAATCCAGGAGGCGATTATGGGAAAAAGGAACTGAGTCCTGCGCTGCGTAACCGATTCTGCGAGATCTGGGTACCAGGTGTGACCGCTAGGAGTGACTTGGAGGGACTTGTTGCAAAGAAGTTGAACGTTGGAGGGGTGAACAATGCAGACGCCGCATTGTGTGCACAATGGATGATGGACTTCTACGACTGGCTTGCGCAACGTCTGAGAAAGGATCGTGATGCCGTTGTTTCTTTACGTGATGTACTGGGGTGGATTGAATTCCTTGCCGGTGTGCACACTGCCGGAGTATTAGGACTTCAAGAGGCGTTTGTGCACGGGGGATGCATGGTGGTGGTGGATGGTATTGGAGTCAACCCTGCTCTGGGAGTCTTGGGCGCTGTGGACAATGTCAAGATGGAAGTGAGGCGTGCTTTGTGGCGAATGTGTGGTGGAGAAGAGCAGGGAAATGATGAGGTTGGGCTTGGCGGCGCTATAACTGTAGACAACAGGTTCGGAGTATCTCCATTTTTTATCGCAATGGGGCCTGAGACTGTGAGGGACGTAACGTTCTCGTTCATGGCGCCTACAACACTCCGAAATCTTACTCGTGTGCTGCGAGCCCTGCAGCTAGTCAAGCCTGTCTTGTTAGAGGGGTCGCCAGGAGTTGGTAAAACGTCTTTGATCACAACATTGGCACATCTGACGGGGCATAGACTGACACGTATCAACTTGTCTGATCAAACCGATCTGATGGACCTGTTCGGCACGGACTTACCGGTTGAGGGAACTGGCAATGCCGGGCGCTTCGCTTGGTGCGATGGACCATTCCTCAGTGCCATGAAACGTGGAGAGTGGGTTTTGCTTGACGAGTTGAATCTGGCATCACAACAGGTCCTCGAGGGTTTGAACGCGTGCCTAGATCATCGTGGAGAGGTATACATTCCCGAGTTGGATCGCGCATTTCGTAAAGGTGCCGGATTTCGCGTCTTTGCGGCACAGAATCCACAGGGACAAGGTGGCGGTCGTAAAGGGCTACCACGCTCATTTCTCAACCGCTTCACCAGCGTATACGTGGACGCGTTGACCGAAGCCGATGTGTTGACAATTGTGGGCAGTGTGTACAAAGGTGTTGATCAATCTGTTTTGCACAAGATGGTACGATTTAACGAACGAATGAAGGAAGAAACCATGGTGAATATGCGCTTTGGTTTGCGTGGAGCACCGTGGGAATTCAATTTGCGTGATGTCGGCAGATGGGTTGAGCTTGTAAAGAGTCATAATGGCGGGGATCCGAGTGCTTTCGTCGAGATGATGTATGCTCAACGAATGAGAACCCCGGCCGATCGTGAGGTGGTGTGGAGTTTGTTCGAGGAGACGTTTGGTGAATCTTTTGAGAAGAGAAGACGGAGGCCTGTTTGGAGGGTCACACCCAAAGAGGTTTTGATTGGCTCCGCATCGGTTCAGCGGAAGTCAAACCGGTCTGGACCTAACACGCATGCGTCGGTTCCTATTGATCACCTTCATATTCTTCCATCAACCCTTCCAGTTCTGGAAACTCTCCTGAAGTGTGTAGAAATGGGATATATGCCAATCTTAACAGGTCCAGGGGGATCTGGAAAAACCAGCTTGGTCAGGCTTCTGGCTGGCATGTGTGGGGTGACTCTAAGAGAATTCAGTTTGAATCCTGGAGTTGACGCTGTGGAGCTTCTTGGGGGTTTCGAACAGGCCGATGTGGTGCGGAGACGGAAGGCACTTCTGGAAGGAGTGGGTCGGATCGTTGAGGGGGTTGTCCGGGAGCTGTGCTGTCATGGCGGAGATGATCTGAGAACCGCTGACCAAACGATGAGGGAGTGGGACGCTATTCGTCCGACTGTCGACAAGGGGGAATTAGATTTTCTCAGTCGATTCGTCACAGATCTAGAACGTTTGGCGGGAAGAATTGAGTTTGATCCTCTAGGGAGATCTCTGCCAACCTTCGATCACATACGTACATTGATCAATCTATATGCCGAGGCCCTTGTCAAAGGGACACATGGTACCTTTGAATGGATTGATGGAACGATTATCCGCGCGATGGAAGAAGGGCATTGGATACTTCTTGACAATGTGAATCTATGTCCGTCATCCGTACTTGATCGTCTCAACCCCTTGTTAGAGTCTGGGGGCGTTCTGACCGTTACTGAACGGGGTGTCGATGCTAACGGTCACATCCGGACGGTTCGGGTCCGAGATGGGTTTAGAATTTTTATGGCACTCGATGAACGATTTGGTGAGGTTTCGCGCGCAATGCGTAATCGTGGTGTAGAAGTGTTTGTTGAGGCGATCGCAGATGTTGAAAAGGCGTCCGGGTTGCCAGGAAACGCTGCCCGTGCTTTTGAAGGCGGTACTATGCGGAAGGTGAGGATGTGCGGGAGGATGATTATCGAGAGATTACAACGAGGCATCGCCGTCAATGAAGCGATAGGAAAGGCAGTTGATGACGTGTTCGATGTGGAGGATGCCGATGGGGTATCAGGTGTTGTGGACAGAATAAACGATATCATCAATTCCGAAAAGAGGCTTCTCGATAAGTTTTCGGCGCCTTGTTTGTTCCCTCACTTCCTTTCCGGGCGGGTTGTGATCGAGCAATCAGGATTGTCTCGGGTCGCTATAGACGGCTCCTATCTGCTGTATGTGCTTCTGAGCCCGCTTGATATGCCAAACCGAGCGAACCTCCTGTCTGCGGCAGCCAAAATCTTCATGGAAGGTCTGGATTGTCGAGAAGCGGACGTGGTATTGCGGCGGATTTGGAGTGGGTACGTCTTAAGGAGATTTATCCGAGACGATGACACGGAGAGCCGAATTATTATGGAGATGGTCCTGAATGTGCTGGACGGGCCAGATTGTGAAACGATGGAGGCACGTCGGCAGGTTATTTCCGATGAAGTGACTGGCTTGCCGTTGGATTTGAGGCCCATCGAAGGACGCATTGGGGAAATTTTGAGGACACAGGAGGGATGGCCTGCCTATGTTCGGAGAATGCATTTGTGGGACTTGAGACGAAGGATTACGGTCTCTCAGCTTATTCAAGAGAGGAAAGGCACTGGAGATCAGAGGGGGATATTAGACAAGTCACGACTATTCGCGAATTTTAGGATTGGTGAGTCGGAACTGGGCCATTCCTCTGTAGGCCTGTTTTGGCCGTTAATGGAGGCTGTCAGGCACGCCATTTTACGCTGGATCGACTGTGAGGCTGACTGGGTTGCTGAGAATCCTGAAGTGGTTCACGCTGTCCTTGATCAGCGTGATTGTCTTTGGCGCGTTCTACAGCATTCTGAACTGTTATTTGATGAAATTATTGTGGCGTCACGTCGGTTGCGCAAGACTCTGGATCGTTGTGTTCGATATTCAACCGGCGTCGACGAGGACACGCACCGGGTGAGGGCCTTGATCGGACGGGTTCGAGAAGAAATCGAAAGAGACGGTGTCGATGGATCTGCAATATTGTGGAGAGATGGCGGAATCACGATCCTTAAGCGACAAGAACTTGTGGATGTCAGTAAAGCATTTGGAGATGTAAATAATGCTCTAGATGTTTGGCGGTCAAACGCGGTATGGGGTGGATTGGGACACCCTGGAGTGGTTATTGACGAAGACGTTAGAAGGGCTATAGTGGAAGGTGTTTCCACATTGTATTACCTCAATGAAGGGGACTATGACAATGACCTGGTTCAGGTGCTTCGTGAAGTCCCCATTCGGCTTGCCAAAAAGGTCGACAGTTACGTGGAAAGACTAAACAATGACTTGAAAGCTATCGAGGAAGGGAAGACAATAGAAGGGGCATCATTGGTCGAAAGAAATGCACGGGTACCCATGGAAGTACTGGAGCATGTCAGGGAGAGATTTGTAAATGTTGGGTTGTGGGCATTGTGGGATGCCGCAGGACTCAGCAGAGAGATGCCACTTTTGAAGAGGTTGGGTCAATTTGTTGGCGACGGGTTGAATGAGGTATGTTCGTCCACTCTGGCAAGCGCACAATAGGTATTGATTTGGCACTGTTTTGGTGATATAGGCTGCGTTGAATACTCTTATGGCCGATCTTCAGTCGCACCACACAATTATGATGTCGCAAACGTCGCGTCCACCACTTGATCTCGAGCCCTTCCAACGACTCATCTGGGTGTGCGATCAATCTGCTACCCCGCACGCGTTGACGTCGGAACAGCTGAATGCGTTTGTCGATGTTATTGTCCAGGACGCCATGTATAGGTGGCATCGATCGCTTTGGGCAAATGCATCGGCATTTTGGACCGAAGCCCTGGAAATTGACCCTCGGGCTGGTTCTGTTTTCGATAATGCCGAGTTAGACATAGTATCAGGGAACGTCATTCCGCAAGCGCCTGACCATAAATATGCGGGACCGATTGTTTTAGAACGTGGCATTGAGAGCCGATTATTGCTGAGATCTCTTGGGGATATCGGTGCAGTTCCTGTGTACGGATACGTTGGGAAGACTCACCAAGTTGAGGGCCTACTGGACTACATAATGTCAACGGCTAAGGAGGACAAGAGTGACATCGCTAAAGACGACTTGGGGCTCTTAGGCTCAGTGATCTTAAAGGTAACGTTCTGCGCGTGGCAGCCGTATGAATAAGCTGTTGAATACTTTCTTCTTGCAGTTTTTAGAAAACCATCGAAAGGCTTTTGATGAAGTAGTTCACCTGGAAATGATGAGAACCGCGCGTGATCTTGCGGACATGTCTTCGGGCGTAAATCGAACTGAAAATGTGATGGACATTGTTAACGAAATTACTGTTCGTTTAGACGATGCAAAACTGGATGCTGTGAGACGCAACTTACAGAAGTATCTGAAGCCATGTTTGTACGCCATGGGCGAGGCAATTCTTTCCAGTGGAAGTTCGACAGGATCACGCGGTAGAGCATGGATGTTCTACTCACTCGCTTTCCTTCGAGCGTATTTGCCAGAAGTCCCCATTGATCCCGCCGCAGGGCCTGCTGTTAAGATTAAATTCATGGAGGAAGAAGCTTCCATTCTTCGTGCCGAGGTTCATGTCAGATCCGAAATGGAACGTCTGATGACGGGAAACGAAGATAATGATATGGTGCATAGCTTACTGGAGCGTTTGAAGACATGCCAACTCAAGAGCAAGAAATGGGCCGGACGCGTTGCACTTCGGCCAGAACGATCACAGATGGCTGACATCATGAATGACCTCCGTCAACTCGGTACTCATCTCCTCAGTGATGTCGCTGTCGAATCGTTGCTTGCCGAGTTAAAAGCGAATCAGAGGAGAGATATGACGGTAGCCAAGGAAGCGCATCTCCAGAATACGTTGTCGTCCTTGGTTGAGCGATTGGAAACGAAGTATGGGGCATACCGAGATATATTGCAACCAGTCTATCTTGCGGTGTACCAGTTCAAGTACGGATTGAGGTTGTTGACTGAGCAAACCAGAATTAATGAAATTGCGGATGAAGACGGTGTCGGGCGCGTGTTATCGTTAGCTTTAAGATTCATTGACGACGGTAAAGTCGATACCGCCGAGACGATGATACCGCTGCTGAAGCGCATCACGAGCCAGAAGGATGAAGTCAACGGCATGGATCTTTCAAGCGTAGGAATAAAGATGATTATGAGTTTCGTTCGACGGGCCCAAGCAGTGTTACGAGTGCGCGCCGGGTCTAGGTCGGATAGTCTTGGGCATTTGCATTTGCTGTTCGGGGAGCTGGTTGATGCGTGGTCGGTGGCAGAACAGGAACGATTAGATAAGGAGCAAGCTGAGGGGGATTTGTACAAATATAGAGAGCGGAAGCACGATTTGGCCACGGAGGAGGAGATTGAGGAAGCGCAATTCACTGAGCGGTTCCCGGATTTCTATGGAGAGTTTAGGGATGTCTTTGAATTGCCTGATGGCGGTAAAGATCCTGATCAGAAGCCTTTGGGGGAGAAGAAGCACGCGAACGACTTCAGGTTGGATAGTAAGGTGGCCCAAGAAGTCCGGTTGTTGCATAAGGATGTCGTCATGTCATGGACCGCCACTTCCCACAGAGGTGAATCCTTCGAGGAGGCGTGGAAATCGGCTTTCATGCAGTCTTACGCAAGTGCTAGCGATCTGACTCGGCTCAGCAATTTGTTTCCTTCCCGAACGTTGGATAAAACGGGGCGAGCGGGACATTTCTTCGTCGCCACGGCACAGTTGGAAACCTTGACTTCCACAATTAGCAAGGAAGATGACGATTTGGCGCCAAATGGTCCTCGATATGACTTTTACAGGGATGCAAATATCCCTGAAGCTCGCCAAGTCCATGCTGTGCTTTTGAGATTTGACCAAC